CGGTCTATTTCGTTTGAACGTAGGAGGGTTTCTAGGTGTCTGAAACATGATCACAGTCAACCATCTTCGAGTTTCCAGAATTATATATTTTAATCTTTGTATATAGTTAATATACATTCTTGTGGTCAATTGCTCTGCAGTACATCATTGAAACCTAATATACACATCTGTGCTCTAGACTCATTATCTTCTCATCACAAGGCCGATCATCTATGACAGGAGTTGCCACTTCCGGTACCTCAAACTAACCAGATGAATGTTCCTCTCTTCACTGTATATCCCAATCATCGGTTCCGGCTTCTCTTTTGGCATAAGCAATATCCTGGGTTTCTAAAAGAATCTGCCAGCTTTCTTTCTTGTCTGATAAATTATTGCGTTTGTGACGCTTAGTTGGGAGGTAAACAGATGTTGTCGAAGCCATTGCAGTTCCGTAAAGTTGTCGCCAGGTAAGTCTCTAACACGATGCTTCTTTAGAACATAGTAATCCAAATAATCACCCTCTCTACATACAACGTAGTTCAACAAGATCCCACGGCTTCGCCGTCATTGCAGAATCCTACAGCCTGGCATGAACTATATCGGAGCGTCCTGTTTCGCGATACCCAGAATATGGAGGAAATGAGACTCTGTATTCAATGGATCTTATACGCACAGCGACCATTAAAGCAAGAGGAATAATACTTTGCATCCTTATCAGGATTGAAACCCCACGATCCTTTTCAAATACGGGATGCAAAGGTTGTAGACGTGAACGAAGTGAGTCTATTCATTCTCAGTTCTTCGAAAGGTTTAGGAGAGATCACGAAGTCAAAAGTAAAATCCACACTGCACAGTTCATCCACGAATTAGTGAGAGACTTCTCGTTACAAGAAAATGGACTTGGTCAAATATTAGCGGATATTAAAACGAACGCTGCTGGTTCAAGTCATAAACGATTGAAAGGGTGTTACATATATCACATAAGATACATTAGGAACGTGTTACCATACAAGTCCAACCTCCCCAACCTTCTGTCAGCGAATGTCCCAAAAGCTGCAGAACTGCGTTTGGATATATCGCGTCGATTTCCGTTCCTAGAATCTACGATTCACAACAATCTATCACACGCAGAAAGTTCACAGGCTGAAGTGTTGATCAACGTCAATTTATCGTCGAGTTCAGAATAAGCGATTCGGTGAATCTCAACAAGCTACGGGAGAGGACTAAGATCTACCGTCTTGACGAAGTAGCTGACCTTTTGTATATCCTTGCCAAACGAGATTTTCCTAACCTCATCGATTCTTGTCGAGATGGAACATGGCAAAAGAAAACCAGTTACAGTGGAAGATATCGGAATCCAACGTTTGCTGCTATTGTCAAAAACAGCCGTCATGAATGTACTTGTTAGGAATAATATTTTTATTGATCCTCATGGTGTGGCGCTTTCATATACGGGAAAGGAAGTCTCTTCTTTCTGAATTAAGAAGGAGTCCGCCCCGCTCATCCCTCAATTTTTGCAGATTTACAGTATTGATGTTGTTTCATGGGGAGAGGTGCTGAGTTATGCACTAGAAAATAAGAGGAGGATGTTGGCAGAGCTACCTCTTCAGCGAGCAGTGAGGGACAATATAGCTGTGGAAGGTTATGGTTTCCTTTGACGAGAGTTGTAAATCACAAGGAATTTCATCTACATCTTATCCGTTTCGTTACGTCATTACCAGAAAGCGACAATAAAATACTTTCATGGGCATCAGTCTCAGGAACCCACCGTCCAGTCAAACATTTTTTGACGAGTTTGAATTGAATATAGGTATCAGTGCCGAACACTATGGTAGTACACTAAGACATTGGTACATGGATACTGAGAATTATATGTATTGAACGCATAATAGAAGTCACTTTTGCAGGTATGCAATAAAGCCCTGACAGGCTCGTCCAAATTCGATCTTAAGAATTCAAATGCTACAAGTGCTAAGAATCGTACCTATATATCAGATAGCAGTAGTGCGGGCTAATAAGTCGCTTTTCTCGGCTTCTTAAAAAGTACTTTTTAGGACCAAATCTTTTTGTAGATGTGTAACAAAATTCTTGCTTCTGTCCATCTAGGAGGCATATATGGCTAACGCCGAAGAGACAATTTCGGATATGAAAGATATGGGTAGCCCGTGTTAGACCGGAAGACAAGTAGTCTATATCTGTAGTCAGTCGCAATAGAGATCAAAAACGGGATTTTGCCGATATTTCCGGCGTCTTGAAAAGTACTTTTTGAACTTCAGATATGCAACAAAACTTTTTAGCATGATATTAGTTTTGTCGATTCCGAATTCGTTGGCTTAGATAAATGACTGGTCCGATCTCCAGTGCAAACACTTTTGGTCGGGTTTCTCAACGTTGTCAAAAAGTACTTTTCAACACCAAGAACTTCTGATTAGACGTGCAACAAAACTTTTTAAATTACACTACTATTGTAGAACTTTCGATTCAATATTCCAAAATACACAGGATATTTAAAGTCTATAGAAGACTGTTCCTGTATCTCGTTATTACGGAGTGAGAGACTGCTTAAAGTTGAATGTGGTCAGAAAGTGCTTTTTAGATCCCAGAAATTTTGGGGAGCAGACGTGCAACAACAAAACTATGAATGGGTGATCGGTTGCTTGAAGCTGGGCTTGTCTCCATATATTAGTTAAGCCGAGCATATGTTCCATCAAGAAGCATGCAATTCCTCTCTGTGGCTACAAAGCTACATCAGTGATCTTTAGATATACCTTGGGCATAAATCGAGAACAGTTGGACGCATCTTTCTTTACAGCTTTGTTAGATCGACACAAAACTCTTGGGCGCACCCAGTCAGAATAGAGAAACAGTAACTCCCACGGAACACGCATGTCGGAAGCTTGGATTCGATCAGGAAGCATAGACACGTTCTATATGGCTACCTACAGGTGACATACCTTGAACCCTATAAAGACGTTTTGGAGCAAAAACTAACTTCCTAAAAAGTACTTTTTCGCAAATTCAGGTATGCAACAAAACTCGACTGCCAGACCAATCGAGCATACAAGATACTTTGTCAATCTTAGAAGTAGAATAACTCTTCATATGAGAAATTTAAGAAGCTCAAAATTAGCCAGGTAGTAGTAAACCTGCCTCTGCAACGTACTATCTACTTAGTATAAAAGCAATTTTGAGTAAAGAACTAATCCCTCAAAAAGTGCTTTTTCGCAAATTCAGATAGTCAACAAAACTTTTTTATTTTCGAATTTCCCCGGATGATAATCAGATCAGTTGGAGAAGATGATAAGCCAAATTGAAACAGATGTGCACTTCTTGAAAGGATAGTCGATCAGTATGATACATTCTGTAGATTAGGTAGGGTATTTTCGGTCGTAACATCAACTATGAGTGTGAATATATTTGATGATAGTGCTTGATAGTACAAGTACAGCTAAGTATGATGGTTGGTCGGAGTGAGCTCCCATTGGGTCCCCATTCGAGAAACTTCTCTCCGTAACGCGACTGAATGTTGGGTTGTGAAAGGTCAATGCCGGATTGTAGGTCTGCTGGGAGCATAGAGAGATATTTCTACTGACAGCATATATTTCAAAGCTGTGTAGGCCTGGAGGCAATTCTCATAGGATTCTCTTCAAGTACAATAGTAGCATTCCGGGTTAACCCATAATACTGACACAACCATAGGCATGAATTGTGTTGACTACTTCTCGCTTGAGAGCGACAAATACTTGAGGGGTAAGATAAGTGCATGTCTTTCATAATTGCGTAATCTCCACTGACATACAAGGGAAGTATGTTGTTCGCCGATATGATAGAGTAATGTTTTGGCTAATTTGGGGTTCGGCATGTAAATGTAACACTGAACGGCACGTACTGCTAAGAGGGTAGTATCGAACGGAATATCGAAGGTAAGATCACGAATAAATCAGTTCTTTTGCTCAGCCAAATACATCATCATATACTTATATTCTGATGGTAATTCGGATACCGCGGACAAGTTGAAAAACATCGAGTGAGATATCTTTTCATTTCCGCGGAAGAGTCCAGGCTTCGGTATCACGAATAATTCGGCGACAGCAAAAGAAAGACAGATAAAAACTTCCCTGACCATTTTCTTGCATAAAAAAGGTACAAATAGTCAGGTGTCAAATATTGACAGGCTCGCATTGAGATTCTGTGGCGGTTGCTTGTACAAGTGCTGGTTGTTCTGTCTTTTGTTGCACATCTGAAAGTTGGCCGGAATTATTGCAACAGAGATGAGTTGCTGAGTTAAGCTTGGTACAGTGTCTAAAGTATGACATTCATACGAAATTGGGGGTTGAGGACGGTTAGTGTGATTCTAGATCGCTGGTGTGCTGGCTGCCGGAGAATGCTGAACGTTGTGGTTGTTCCGCCAGTCATGATGGTTACAACATGAGATCAAGTCGTACGGCAGTACACAATACAGTACATTATTGACATATCATGTTCACGATGAGAAGTCGTGACCTGAATTAAAGGCTGGTAAAAGCTGCAGATGCTGCACTTTGAGATGTTCGCTGAAAGTTAAAACTTATGCCTGGGTACATCTTTAGTTACTTGAGGGGAAATGACCAGAAAACTGACACCAATCCATTAGAGGAGCTCTTTTGTACACAATATTGTGCTTTAGTAAATGCCAAGTATTTTTTGTGGTAAAGCCCTGAATGAACTGTTACATTTGAATTGAGTTCTTTGGTGATCGATGCATCAATTCTCTGACTTGTCGACACTTGCGTTGACCAGCTTTTGATAGCTACACAAATGCATATTGAACGCGTGTTAATTGATGTACGGAGGTCTTTAACACACCTAGACCTGTAGGTAGCCCAGTGCATTATCGTACCGGTATTTCGAGATTCGTATCGCAACACGCGCTCTGTACCATGCATCTGTACTTCGGCATAATATGTACTTTACTTGTGCATCATTGCCATTCATGTACTCATATCCTCTCCAAGTTTCTCCCCGCTATTGACAAGATCCTCATGACTGGCCATTCAAGTGTTCAGCAAATTCGGATCGAGGAGCTTTGAATATCATTATCAAGACGTCAATCAGACCTAGGTCACTTTTCGCCCACAAATGTTCTCTACTGGACCCCTTCAATCCATAAACCTCTAGACAGGTACTTTTTTGTATCTCAAGACTTCTTGAGAACGTAAGGGCCTATTAATTGCTAATAGATTAAAACAAAATTCAATGACTAAACCGCCAACAAATTTGAGATAGGCAAATTTCAACAATGGAAAGAACAGACCTGCTGCACCTGCTGTCATTCCCAATGGTCTTCCTACTCCTCAGAATACCATCATTCATACTCCAGGCAGCGATTCTAGCCTTGAATCTCCAATCATTGCCGACGATGAGATGCTTTATGAGAATACTTCATTATACACTACCAACCACGGCATGGACTTCTTTGGCCCAGCATACCCTGCTGAAATGAACCTGTTCCAACCCCCACAATCATTGAACATGGAATATTCTCCCATCACGGACAACTCCTTCTCTCCTGATGGACAATCGCCATTTGATGCAAACTCTCCTTTCAACTCCACATCTGTTCTTGGTGCTCAAGATCAATTCCAAGAGACTATGCAAGCTTACCCACCAAACGATGAATGGGCCGCTTATGAGCAAACTGATCTTTACAGCGCCCCAGCTCAAATCCAGATTCCATCTAACCACCAAATCTACCAAGATATCATGGGTCAAAATGCCATGGCATTCGAGACCTCGGGTGTCACATATCAAACTCAACATCAACAACACCAACCCCAACAACACCCACAATCTATGGCCCACATTTCACCTATCGGTGAAGGTAATACCATGCTTTACACACCAAAATCTATGCAAGATTTTGATGAGGGATTTGAAGACTTTGTTCCAAACAACACTCGCATGACCACCAATGGTGTTCAAGATTTCCAACTCTTTTCTGCACCTCAACAAAGACAAAACAGCAACCCTGCTCCACTCTTTGGTGAAATCATTCCTCAAGCACCACTTGGATTTCCTGGCATTCATCCCGAGGATTTGATTGCATTTTATGCTCAAACCGCTGCTAATTCTGCTGCTGGTACTGGCAACCACTTACCACAAAACCACTACCAAAACCATCAACAACCTCAACAACATCAACAACATCAACAACAATTGCATCAAAACATGAACATGACAATGGATTGGTCTTCTGATGATTATGGCTACAACAGTCATTAGATATCACGTGCAAGCAGTGGATACAATGACAATCCCATTTTACAACCTTTTAAATTCTTGGCATTAGCATAGTTGCATTTTTTATCGTTGGCGCTTTTTTGCATTTTTCCAAATCAGTCTTACGAAAGTTTCCAAACTCGCTGTTTTTTTCTCAACAATTTTTTTCCTTTCTTGATGAATTGATGAGTAGTAGTTAATGTGTGGGGGATTCCATTATGGAGAGGTTGAGTTCGATTGAAGTGCTTGGTGGATGTGGAATATAATGGATGGATGGGGTTTCTTAGATCTCGACGGGTGGTCGACCGTTGCACCGGGACGGGACTGACCGGGGATATTTTTATCATGATTTTTATTTTTTTTTTTTTTTTTCTGGGAGAGATAGCAGATGGAAACAGATCTCGCGTTTTACAGTAGCTGATTTGGATGGTTGGTATGGATGGATCTTGAGTTTATTTTCATTTGATTTGGCTGGATGGGAGTTGAATTGAATTGAACTGGGGTTTCTACTTAGGGTTCTATCTGAATTGGATGGGTATTGATTGATTGGAAGGAAATGGGTATTGAACCCGGGGAATGGGAGGATGGTGGATGGTGCATAGGAAGGGAAGGGGGGATGAGAGACAAGTCGATGGATTGATGGCATGGCAAATGGTATTGGAAGAGATTCTAGAGAGGAAAGATACGTAAGATACATGACCAGACAGAAATACTTTTGATAGAAATGAGATTATTATCATATTCATTTATATGACTGATTGACTTGAATCCGGTGATTGTTTTGTGACTTGTGTGAGGTGTGTTATGGATGTTATGACTCGGTATCTGAGGGGAAATGTTTGCGGAATCCTTGTATAGTATGTAAGAGTTATGGCCCTGGCTTATCGCACACTTAGCGAAAACACACCAAAAACCCTCATTTTTTCAACTTTTTAACTATATATTATTTTGATATATAAATAGATTGAATTATTGAAACTAATATAAATAATAGAAAATCAATAAAATAATTCAAAAAAATGAAAAAAATATTTTTGATAATTTTTTGTAGAAATTTATAAGTTTTTAAAATTAGAATTTCTGAAAAATTAAAAAAAAGTGATTTTTTTGTATAGAAAAAATGTTATATATTAAAGATTTTGAAAATCTTCAATTTTAAATACTTATAACTTTATTCAAAAAATTATTAAAAATTATTCACTCATTTTTTAGGAAACTAATAATAATTAATATTTATATAATCAATTTTCAAATTATATCTTTGATTCATTAAAAAATTAAAAAAAAATTAATTTATATAGGAAAACAATATTTTTGCAGGGATTTTGTTACGAAATAGGGTGGTGTGTAATAAGCCGAGGCCATAACTCTTACATTTCACCTTGATTAATACATGCACTTGATAATACAATTGAGAACGCTCAAGCATATCTACTCCTCGCAGTTGAAATTAATAGTAGGTATACGCTCACCACTTGCTTCTTGAATTAAAGCAAGGTAGAGTATTTTCCAGCCAGGGGAAGCGATATGGTTGGAATTTAAAGGTTAAAGGTGATGTGATGACTAGATAGGTAGGTAGGTAGGTAGGTAGGTAGGTAGGTATCAAAATTGTTATTAATAAGATAGATGGATAGATATCTTTTGTCTCTAATTGATATTTCTGATTAACATTTCGAGAAATATATATATATAAAGATGGATGTGCTATTATTCTCTTTGACTACCTAGATACTATACTAAGGAGGGAGGGATTATATATCAATATTGATATTGATATTAGTAAAGCTGATAGATATTTCGAGGAGCTGAGCTGCGCTGAGTAGATAATTGAAATAATGATATACTTTGTATATGTATATGTATATGTATAACCTGATACTGTGGATTTTGTTGTTTTGATAGTTGGGGAGTTTTTCGTAGATGGTGTGTATGTAGGAGGGGGGGTGGAGGAGGAGGAAGGGAGGGAGAGGGTGGAAATCGATGGATGGATGGATGGATGGATGGATGGATGATTGATTGATTGATTGATTGATTGAGATTCGTGCTGCTGTGCAGCTGTGTTGTTGGTGTTGTTGGTATCAATCAGTATTAACCTTACGATTATATATTATGTTTCTTTTGGGGGAGGGGGGGGATATATAGGCAGAACTTATATAGCTAGAAAGAAAGAAAGTAGCTCGAAAAAAAGAAAGAAAGTGGGTAGCTCTAGATCTCGATCTAGATATGTAATTTTTATATTGAGTACCTAGCTAGGTAGGTAGGAAAGTAGATATTGGATATTGAATATTGAATGTCTCTGAACACGATAAGGGTTATGTCACCCTTACAATGGACGCCCAAACCAAACCACCACATATCCGTCTCCATCTACATCTGCATCTACATCTAAAATTCCACCCCCACCCGCAGTCAAGAGCACTCGCACCAACTCGCGTGCGAATTTCGCACCCACTGGATCACAAGTAGCGACGACTACGAATTGAGTCTGTCTCTTGATTTCCGACGCTTCTGACGCTTCTGGATGATTTATCTTATCAACCTACAATTTCTACGATTTGTGGAAGGAGAGAGAAGTTGCGAAGCTGTGAAGCTGTGAAGCTGTGAAGCTGTGAAGCTCGATTGCGAGATTTAGTAGGCGGGTAAGGATGGGGATTGATGCATTGAAGCATTGATGTGCAGCGAAAAGATCGCTTAGGGTTGCGGGGGGCGAGGAGAGATGCGGATGTTGTGCTGAGTAATATATAGGGCAGATACCGGTGAGTATTGTTATTTGGCTCCTTTGAAGGGGAGTGTGTCGAACTCGGAGTGGGTCCACGCCAAACCTGTTTGATTTGTTCTTTGATGAGTATTTTTCATTTCGTCTGAAATCTCATTCCCGTAAAACTTAGCTACCGGTATGATTATAGATTTAACTATTCAAAGAATTCCAGGCCCTTCTTTGAATCTCTGTTGTTGCCCCAATGTACAGTTCCAAGGGATGGTTTCTCGCCAGTGCCCAGAATGCGTCTAAGCTAGCACATTTCAAGTGCTCAGCCAAAGGATACAATTCTGTCCACACCAATTGATCTATGATCTTGAAAGCACCATTGTATCTCTCTATCAGATTCGAAGCAGGATCAAAATCTGCCGAGACAACATGGAGAAAACCACGATTGCTGCTCCCTGGTATAGAACCAAACGATGAGAAAGATGCAGAGTCGACAACGAGGAAAGTTGACGTGGACAAATTGGCTGGAATACTTTGTGAAGCTACCATATTTTGGAAGTGTCTGCGAGTTTGTCAGCATGAGTCGCAAGTGTAAGGGAGGTCCATCATACTCTCTCGCATCTGCAAAGTCGTCCTCGAATATACTTTCATCGAGACCCTCTATCCAATGTAAGGTTGCTTTTTGCCTCACATTCTCAACTCCTACCATACCTTCCCATCCACTATCTAAACCTACTTCCAATCTAGCAAGAAAGTTTTTCCACTCTTTCGCGTTTTTTCCCTTACTCATTTTGTAGATGACGTATCCAAATTTATCAACGCTCCTCAATTCTCTTATCCAATCTTCCTCTTCTACTTTCGAAGGGTTCAATATTTGTGACTGTGCCGTTTGGTGCGCGTCTGCTCTATCTAAGATGTCCCATATGGGTTGTAGAGCTTCCTGCTTTTGTTCAAACGAAGAATGGTCATCATTTGCGATTCTCATCTCAGTGGTCTCTTTTATTTTTCGTTGATAGTCTATTTGAAAGTCCTCTCTTCTAGTATCTTGGAGACTCTCATATACTGCGTTGTTTCTTTTCCACGAGCTTTCGTCCTCACTCAGCAACCCAGTTACATTCCCTGGTTCATGTCGATATACGAACCCGACAGTGTGCGGTACAACATGGAACTCGGTTTCGATATAGAGATCGAGTATACTGTTTAGAATATGATAGTGATGCTGAGAAATGAGAGGAGTCTCAGCTTCACCAAAAACAAATTTCGATTGATCGAAAAATTTGGAACGGGTCGCGTTGTAAAGAGGGAGTAAACTTGTGAATATAAAGCTGCGGGATTGAAAAGCCATGTTTTCGAAGAGATAGGACTGGATGTATTCTTGCCACAAAGCCGGCAAATTGTAAACCGGTTTGGATCTCCCTTTTGAAACTTCCAGTGCGTCTAATACATCCTGAAAAATGTCAAATTCGAACCATATATGGTTATATATATCTCGCAATCGGCCTTGTACACGAGGAGTATGAAGATATTCGAATACGTCTATTATGAGCTGTATTTGAGAGAGAGCCGCATCGATATTCTCTGATTTAGAGAGGCCCATGGACTCCCACCGGGCAGGAGGAATTGGTGACATACCATGCCAAATCTAGAGAAAATCAGTCCACTGTGATTGTTCAAAATGTTCAGGTAGAGAAATCATATTGAAAAGGAGGTGACTACTCTTTTCTTCATCATGTCCATATTTCGTTCAATACTCAGTGAATCTAGTGCAGCACGCAAGATATCACTCATCCCAGATGCAGCCATCATAATTCTAGTTAAAGGCGGTGCAGTGGAGAGAGTTGCAGATACACTCTCTGAGCCAAGTTGGGTTTTATAGGGTTCTGGCGCCCATTCAACGTAACTAGTCGACAAGTATTTCACTACCTCCTCAGGCATAAGAGGTAGTCTGGTTTTTCGGTTTCCGGGCATGATACCAGACTTGGCAGCGCCGAGGAAATCCGTAACCGTATGGATCTCAAAAGGCGAGACAACTGCAACATGGCCTGGGGGAGTTGGAGGTAAGGAAGGAAGAGCTAGATACAGAGATACAACGATTGTGAGGATCATTGTTAGGAAAACTTTGGAGCAACATCCGCATGTATACCATCCTCTCCTTGTTCTCATTGGAGGCGCTCCAGCTGCGAGCAGAGGCTCCAGAGGTGCAGGAGGCATGTTGGCTGGAATATTTTGCACAAGAGTGTATTGAGGGTAATCTCTTCAGGTTTTGGTATAAAATATCCTAGCATGGTATTTACGTACTGACACGTGACTAGTTCACTGCCATCACCTTGAAATCTACAAGTATACCTTGACCATTTGACATGGAGCTTGCAGAACGCGCTTCCTTGAGATAGCTTCTAGTTAAGTGACGATGAACAACACCACATCTGACAGACAACCCCGCCCAGCAACTTGAGGCTGGAGAATTATGCCATGTCTCACCGCTGTTACACGATTAAGCTCGAGCTACCTTGGGAGCTTGGTATCCAAAACCGCTTTACCAAACACTTTGATGATCCTATTATTTCTGTTCAATTTCCTTTCAAAGATATCCATATACGTAGGTAATAATTTTAGTGATTTGAATCGAGCTACTTTGTTCGCAATTGATTCGTTAAAGCATCTTGATTGTTTATGTTGAGGTGGTCGAATTCGGTCTGTTTTTCTCCTCCGAACAGCGAGCTGAGCTGAAACCTCAAGCTCTTGCAATGCGGGATTGCGTTTGCTGGCCCGAGAGCTGTCGATCTCCTAGCCCAAACCTTAAGCATAGTGGAACTTAAATATCACTTCACCTCTCATGCTTCACGTCATCCAGACACGTTGAGTTGATCGTAAAGATTTATACAATCATCAACTATCAATCACTTCTTCCAATCCATCAAACAAACTCTCATTTATATACTAAACATCATCAAATCAGCAGCTCTAAATACCCCAAAATGCGCGGTCGTATCCTTCTCACCCTCTCTGCTTTCGGCCAAGGCGTTACACCCTTCATCGCAGATTGGAACCACACCCACATTTATAATCCCCGCTGGCCCCCTCATGCCAAATTCCACAATGGACAAACTATGTCTTTAGGTGCACTACTTGGTCTCGTTACTTTATACTATACCTGGCGCTTCCCACGTATCCCAACTCCGAAGTCCAAATCGAAGGTAGAGAAGAAGCAGACTCCCGAATCATCAGAGTCAGCGTGGGTGCGAAAGATGACTCGGGATAGTATGATCACAGCTGCGATTGCGGGGAGTTTGTATTGGATCGCGGGGTTGTCTGCGATATTATACCCGGGAAGTAAGGCAATGGATCCAGAATTTGGGGATTCGGCTCCGCAGATGATCATTTTTCCATTTTTTATGGGGATGGCTATTTTAGGAGCCTGGTTCGAAGTCAAGGATCTGGACAAGGTGTAATGGTACAGAGATTATGCTAGGGAGGAGTAGTCAAAGGGCGAAGGAGAAGGAAACTCTTAATATTGAGGAGATTGATGCCAACATCTTTGGAGTTGGAGTTCATGGTTACAAGCTTGGTTTGAATATCGGAATGGGTGGAGTCATAACAACTTCAGGCGGGTAAGGATTTGGGGCAGGGGGGAAGGACACGATAAATGATTTTTATGAGATGATGTTAGCTACGAGGGAAAGAACGACGAAAATGATGGAATGATTCAATGTATGTCAAATTAAATGGGTTATTGTTCTCCAGGATATGAGTTCCCAAATCATGGAATTGCTGGTAAAATAACTTCTCCGTCCTTTGGCTGCACATTCAACTGACCATCTTCACGCCATGGTGCCTGATGTTCCTCTGCAAACTGCCTTATATCATCAAAATTCTTACATTTGTGATCACGGTTGAAGTCCGGATATAAGTGAACACGATCTCCAGACTTTGCCCACAAGAAAGGGTGTGCTCCTGTGTCGGCTGAACACATCAAACTTTGGCGGACGGTGTCTAGACAGTGATCTATTGTGGTTGTTAGTAATTGAGTCCACGCAATAGTTGCTAGTATACATACTTATATGTGCTTTCAAGATGTATTCTTCATTCTTGAATGGCCCTTCTCCGAGATTGTGGTAATATTCAGAGTTGTAATAGAGCCCTTGTCGGAGAAGATTCTACGTATTGTCAGCTTCCGTTCATGATCTCTAACTTTGCAAGCAAGTGCTGTCTGGAATTGGAAGTCTTACCAGACAATGCAATTGATGCATCACCTCAACTATAGCAGGATACCCAGGACCTCCATCTTTCTCATCTACTCGGAAATGATCAAGTGATATTCCGGCTTTGGGAGCATCTTCTGGTGGGATGATTATTGCCTTATCTATTCATGTGTGTCAGCATCAGAACTTATCCTGCTTGAGATAGAGACTGCTAACATACATTTTGTTCCAAGATTGAACCATGCTTCATCAACTTCCGGGCTAGGTTCTTCTCTGTATATAGTGTTGGTGAACAGTGAGCCATTGAATCTAATAGTTTCGTATTCAACGTCAATATTATCGAGTATGGGACCTGTGAGAGTCAGCTCATTTGTCATTTTCTTCAAAGATAAAGTTTTGGTAACTAACTCCAAGTTTGACTTGTATGCTTAGCACATACTTGGTCCAGATTTCTGAGGGGTTGATGTGTGGTGAGATATGTTGCGGTGTTTGTGAGCAGTGTAACGACAACTATACATGATATCCAAAAACAAGTCTGCTTTTGTGAGCATTTCGTGGCTCTAGGATTGTCTAGTGTTGATCTATGAGATTTCCCAATCGCCGTGTATTCATTTTCCAAATCAGTAAGAAATGGTACACTTGACTCATCCGAATGTCCCATGTTTTCCCTTTATTAAACTCAAATATTGAAGCGTGAGTATGAATGTAGGTAGTACTGCTTCTCTGTCTTGTTAAACTGGGAAGTCGTTGAAGATTTCGCAAATAGCCATCTGAAGCACCGAATACCGAAAGTCCGTCACCAAACCCCCACCCCTCTTCCCCCTCAACGGTTCCAAGAAATATTACTATCTACCTTCCAGTTCTAGCATGACAAGCCCGTAGTTAGCAATTAGGTCCCCGACCGACCCATTGTAAGCACTAAAATGATCTGATCTTCAAGTACTTCCAGAATACCACTCTTGATAAGAACACGAAAGATCGACATACTCATATTCTGTACCAATAGGTTCCGATTGAAGAATGATACGTTGATTTACACGCACAAGCTTTCGGTGGCTTTGGATCGTGCATGCATATTGTGGGTTGAAGGATCGCCAAGGCTGATACCTCCTTCCCCTTTTAGTTAAGACAGAAGCGAGCCCCGCATGACACCTCAACTCGTGGAATTTGCGGATATAATGCGGGTCTATCTACTGATATTGACGGCTCCTCGGGTATACTCAAATTTTACGATAAGTAACTATATACGATATACGAAAGCGATATCTCACCATTGAAGATATTCTGCAAGGCGACAAATCATTGGTTCGGTGACATGGTTACAAGGTAATTTGGCAAGGGGCAAGCGTGCATGAAGGGTATTCAGTTACATTATATTCTTCATTTAGACATAAATTCGTCAAAGACAATCCTAAAACCCCGCCTTTCATGGCAAAAACACACCCCCGGCTTCTTCCTCGGAGCCAAGCTCCTTCTATTGTACAGCATAGAACCAGTTGGTTGCAGCTTCTTCTGGCTCGGCATCCTTCTTCTGAACAGCATAGAAAATGTTCGAAGCCTCTTCTGGCACAGCATCCCGCTTTTGCACAGCATAAAACCAGTTAGTTGCAGCTTCTTCTGGTGCAGCATCCTTCTTTTGAACAGCGTAGAAAATGTTGGAAGCTTCTTCTGGTATGGCATCCCGCTTTTGTACAGCATAAAACCAGTTAGTTGCAGCTTCTTCCGGTGCAGCATCCTTCTTCTGAACAGCATAGAAAATATTGGAAGCTTCTTCGGGCACAGCATCCTTCTTCTGAACAGCATAGAAGTAGTTGGTAGCCTCTTCTGCTGGTGCTGCATCCCGTTTGGCCTCTGTTGTATCTGTCATCGATGTTAGCATGAATTATCAATAGAGTTAAAATGAACTACATACCAACTGGAGTAGGGAGAGCAATTGCTACGCCGAGCAAGCTCAAGGCTGTCAATGCATATGTGACCTTCATGATGACGGGATGTTTTCGTGATGCGTGAGTGAAAGATGAAGTGAGAGTAACGGTTATAGAAGGCCTGAATTTCTACATTTTAGGAGAGTTTCGAAACTATATATAACACGATCTTCAACACAATATTACCTAAGGATATCTGAAGTACTTTTGACCTCCTTCCTAATCCGTGGAAGTGGGATGTCTTCTAGGGTGTAGTTTCAGGTGCATATTCAAAGGATTCAATTCCCAGATATAGTTTGTCAACATAACGCTTGTGCATCATGCAGGGGAAAGATTTCTGCACGAATAATGATCAGTGACTGTATCCGCACGAACCTCCCAATGAAGTTTGAGAGTCTAGCATTGGCTGCATTATCTTCCCATTCTTGCTGGCCATTGATATCTTTCTGTAGCAATTGACGTCAGATTACCAAGAACTTCTCGGGAAAGACGGGAGAATCGTAGTCTCCTGTTCACACAACTTTGTCTCATCATTTTTTTTCTATCTCGAAGATCTCTGGAAATATACATCTTCTGGTCGTGGAACAGCCGAAGGAGCAAACCACAAATATGGACTCTAAACGTGTGCGATATGATCAGCTCCCACTTGAAGAAGGTTCCAGTCCGTCGGAGACAAGAAAGACCACCTCAACTACCAGAAGAATTATTCAAGTTGTCCTGTGTGCAACTGTTCTAGCATCAATCATCATCGGTACCTTCTGGATATGGTTTCAAAAACACCCCAATCTGCCTCAATACATCGACTGTGGCTCCTCAGTCGAAGAAGCACTCTCCAAAAACTGTGTCATGGAACCGATGATCTACGGCTGGATACCACGTGAATGTTACTTCGCCGATCTCAGTTCTCAGTATTCTCCCTTTGAAGACAGAGGGTGGTATACAGACGACACCTACACGGTGCAAATACCGCCTGCAGACCTCTGGGCGGGAAAGAACAAACACGCTTTTACGCACAAGTATCATTCGACGCATTGTTTTTTTCTCTGGAGGAAACTGGCATTGGGCATTGCGAGGAGAGCAGATTATTTGGACGACAAGAGTTTGGATTTGGAACATTCGGATCATTGTTCGGAAGTCTTGGATCATTATGGAGGGGAAACTAATAATTCGACGAATGATGTTGTGATGGGATTTCATAGGTGTGAGAGATTGGCTTGGGTGTAGGAATGATGTGAAAAGAGATCTTGCGATTGTAGGATGAAAGCTTGAGGCTTTTGATTGGATTATTTACATCTTTATTGAATTCAGGGTTTAAGAAAGATAGTCATTTATTCCTTTGACAATGAAGTTAAAGTTCTCCAAAAATAGTGGGCTCATGATTGAATGGCATTTTCTTTTAATTATTTCGTCGTGCGTTGATCATTCATCACAAACGCTAGAAGGGAGAGAAGCGGGAGACCGGTAGATTGCGCGCACATGGTATTCGCGTGCTCAATTAGCTCTGAGGTTATCTAACTACTGCACCCATCCAACAACACATTCCATCTCCAAACCCGATGAATTAATTTCACTATGCGAGATATCAACCTCATCTTTAGGCTTTCTGGATGTCCGGCGTTGACATAGATGCTCTCAAATCGTCAGGATCCGGAAAATATCCCGATCTAACCAACAAGTCAAAAGCCTCTCTATCCTCCAATTGACCACAAGCCTCTAAAAAGTCCTCGGGAACATATTTCCTGATCAACTCCGCCATATTATCAGCCCTAGCACAACGGACATATGTACGAAAATCCAATGCTCTAGGCCACAGATGCATTCCGGAGGGATAATAACCAGCGAATTCCCAATCGATCAAAGCTTTAGATTGGAAAGTTTCCGTATCTATGAGAAGATTATGGGCTGCTAAGTCTCCATGTTGGAAAACGTACTCGGGAGTTGCGAGCGGGAGAGTTTTCCACGGTTCTTTCCTTCCTTTCCATGGTTCTTGCGTATCAATGGGCAACTAAGCAGGAGGCATAACGAAGCCGTCAATACCTCTTGTATGGGATTTCATAGTTGAAAGTTGCGGCATTACAGTATTTTCTACGAAGTTTATGGCGCTGGAATATGCTCTGCGCACACACGTATCGCAAGAAGCTTCTTCTGTATGTTTTTTGCCAGCTGTTACTAGGCATCCTAACGCATGCAAGTTGTTGAGATTAACGCCATTGATGAGTTCCGTCACAAGGTATCGTGTACCATCTGGATTTACACCATAATCGAGAAGTCGTGGAACTGGAATGCTTGTTTTCTGTGAAACGAGCTTCAAAAAGCGTTGACTTCATTGGTGATGCGGTCGTGATTGAACAATCTCTTGCATTCAATTGGATGTTCTTCTAAGTCCATATAAACCCATGGAAGTCGTGATGTTTTCCTGAACATTGTGGGTGTGAAGTCATATCTAACATTCCAGGTTTCTAGCCGGCGAACGACGTCAGCTTCGTTGAAATTTGGGAGCTTTGGGGGTTGTGATTGTTCGTTGATATAGGGTATCGACTTCGTGCTATCGGTTGGATTACCCATTCTTGCTAATGTAAGTTGAATTCAATTTTATGATTAGCAATGCTACTTTTTCTTAGTAGCTTAAGTGTGTAAAGATCGAATATTATATATTAAGGAAATTAGCTAGAATAATAGGCATGTACTCAGAAAGGGATGTCAGTACGGCAGCGCAATAGTTACCACAGGCCGTATCAAACGCTGCCCAGCATATCTCAATACAAAATGAACTGTACAAGAGAAAACTGGCAGCTCGCAAGAGACCCGCGGTATACTTGATCCTCTGTTGTGTGTTGCTACGATGGAAGATTTTGATCAAACTATCAAGGTCAAGCAGCCGAAACTCCCCCTAACCATATTTTTGCTACTCGTCAATTCCATCAGTGTATGCACGGCGAAATCGCTTTCGTCGCTTACCTAGTCATGGAAGTTTGGATGATGTTCTACGAAAACTTATGTGACAAACTCAGATCGGCTAAACCTTTCGTAATAATGCAAAATCATTAAGTCGAGCTAACTGTTCACATCAACCCAAAAGCCCAAAGCGTTTCGAAGAACAGAATCCTAAATTTAGTCAACATGTACACTTGCATTAACAGACATGATAATTCGACAACCCCGACTATATCTCTCGCATAAATTGACGATTTTATGCCACCTCACAGACTCAATTCAAAGTAACAACAGATGTGCTCGCGATCAAAATAAATCAAAACTGCAATCAATGCATTTGTTTCATTCCTTTGATGTACTCCCAAAACCCCAAAAACAAACAGGTATCAACGCCCCAAACATCTCATTCATAAACACATAAAGCCCAGACATCCAGCAATAACTAACAAATAAACACTTTATCTAACACAAATGCAAAAACTTGCTCGCCTGTTCCGTTCTCCTTCTCATCAAATCTCAAGCCCATTACATACCCAAAAGACCAGCGACCACCACCGCGCCCCCAAACGTGATCCATCCCACAGTCGTAATATCCGCCGCACTTGAACCCGTGGCCGACGCCGACGCCGCAGTACCCGTCGCACTGCTCGCTCCCGAGGAGCTACTTGTCCCAGAACCCGATTCTGCTTTCAATGGAGCGAGCGTGCCTCCCACAATACCTTTTGGGTTTGTAGTGGCATCACTATCAAGTGCTTTTGCTGCGAGTGAGAATTTCGCTAAAGTTTTTTGGTTGTCGGTTCTGGGTTGTATTAGCGTTAGCTATTGGATATTTGGTATCTAGATGGAGAAGAAGGTATAGGAAAGAGGAAAGAAATACTTACGCATTAACATTAACGGCTCCTACCATTCCGCCCTCACAATGTCCGGGATATCCACAGTAGAACCAGATCGGTTTCGTATCATTTACAAGCACGCTAAAGACGGAGGCGTTGGCTTCGGTGCCAGTGGTAGCGATCGGACCAGAGAAGAAACCTGAGCCCTTACAGGGTGATGCAAATGCTGCTTGAGCGACCGAATGCGTTTTGGCATAGAAATGGAACTCGAGGGTTGTGTTTACGTCAGCCTTGGTTTCGTTGGGAGAAAATGTAAGTTGGCCGCCGGCGCCAACGAGAATAGTATGGGTTGGGTCAGAAGGAGAAGTGCTTGTGGTGCTTGATGGAGTCACCGTACTGGGTGCAGAATTGGTATCTACGGCTCCGTATGCAGCAAAGGTGAAGGGGAGAGCTCCGAGGAGAAAAGTAATTTTACTGAATTGCATGGTGAATTATTATTAACTATTCGCGATATGGGAACAAAATATTATGTATTGATTGTATGATCGAAAGAAAACGATGAAAAATAAACATCAACTTTTGGGGTTGGATTTAACAGAAAGCAGATCGAAATTGAAATGATGAATGCGATTTAAACAACGATAGCTATCGGTTTATATAACAATCATACAAAGCCTCTTCCTTGGAATTTGCGAGCAACATATTAGAGAAAGACGGTTCGCCATCCCATCATGGTATCATGATATCCCAGGATTAGCATTCAATTGACATCCGAAACTGGCATGTCAACTTAGCCGCTCCGTTTTGGTCCCGAAAGTACGACCCCAAGTTTCGGCTCCTTAACACCAATCGAATTCGGGATATACTCAGCTTGCATATGCACCCCTGATAAAACAGAAAAAAACAACATCCCCAGGCCCCAGCCCTAAGGTTGGCACAATATCATCTGATAAGCTCGGTTACTTTCATCCGACCCAGTTATCCAATCATATCAGAAGTCTTGATGTAACTTAGCCTTAAGTAATGTTTGAACCCCTGCATGGAGATCTATTCTAATCCCCTGCGCCAATTTCAGACGTAAATGGTTCAAGGTGTTTAATTTAATGCGAGTCTGACAGGAGCAAGCCGTTGCCGAGAGAGGTATCCATCACCAAACTGTAGATGTGTGTAGGTGGCGCGGATATTGAAACGCGATCTGAGGAGGCGCAGCAAATTGTGCTAGTTTTATGTTGATTCTGATTTTTGCAGTGCTACTACCTCCATGCGATAGAGTGCCCCGAACGACGAACTTTTGAGCGCGGGAAAGAAAGTTCCATAGGTTAATGAATTTATGTGTTTTCTTGTAGGCATTGTTATGTCTTCAAAGACTTTACCAGGCGTTTGCAATCAGATCTCGTGTCAATATAGGTCTGATCTGTGTTGGCATCCCGTTTGGGGCCGAAGGTTTTTGCAACTAGTGGATACTTTGCTTCTCGAGGCGTAGTTGTTCGGCGGTTATACAGAACTTGACTTGGTGGTGTGACAGAAATTTTTGATACTCCAAGATATACTCAACTTGTTTGAGAATGTATCAACTTCTCCATAAGACAAGTTTGATTTCCGGGGCGGGATTAAATATGAAACATGGTTGAGTAACCATTCGATAAGCATCGAACATGTGTCGCCATGCTCTGTCAATCTTGCACATTACTCGTCTCAGGATCCATAAGGTCGTGTGTTTTCATCCCATGTCAAGGGTGTGGGGGGTCATCGAAGTAGTATATCGACGATTTTATGTCTGTCTTGTGTGTGCAATATTTCCAGTGGAACATCCAGTACATAGTTCCAGTTGGGACTCAGCATATTAGTGATGGCGCGAATATCACGATCTGCTAAGCCCTCGAGCCACCAAAGTCCAGAAACGAGTTTGATAAAGGACATGTAGTACGCGCAGATAATCAGTGCTCTAGGCCGTTTGCTCTTTACTAAAGCTGTAAATTCGTTAGGCGTGAATGATGGCCACGAGATTATACGAATGAACAAAGGTACGCTAAGTTCATCTTGACGAAGACTTGCATAAAGGTTGCCTAAAGCATCCAAAGTCCCGCAATATACCTGCAAGTTCTCATAATCTTGATCGTCAGGATCCATATGTAGCATATGTAATAGGGCAGATGGGACCAACGGAGTAGTGAGTAAATCGTTAAGATTTCGGACGAACAGTGGACCAACAGAAGTAGTGTCGTTTACACCTCCATCTGGGGTTTTCATCGAAACGATAATACGCAGTCCGCTATATAAACCCATCCAGCTTGCTACCGTGAGCTCATCGTTTTCACCCCGGTCTCCTGAGGCAAGCACTACAAGAAGTAATGCCATCACAAGAACTGCTTCGTAGTTCTTCGAGTCCTTGGTAACGGTCGCTAATGCAGCGCGATAATCACGAAATACCTTTCCACGGTAAAGAGCTGTTTGCCGTTTATGATCTTCGTTTTGTGGAAGTAGATACTGATTGTGGAGAGATGCCAGCCCCAACATTCCATTCAATAAGAATGGATTGTCAAAGGCAAGAGATGGAACAACCACTTTCATTACATGGCATGCTGCGGGTCCGAGGGCCACGATTGGTCCTGTATATGTAGAATAATGATGCACCATACGTAGATCCATTACGGAGAGTACTCCAGAGGCTGTACGCAATGGCGGGAATGGTGTACTTCTCGGGTCCCATGAGGGCTCAGCTGATTGAACAGGCCGACCATGAGTACTAGATTTTACTAAAGACGTAGTTTGCTCATGTTCCGTCGGACTAATCGTATCATTCACCTTGGCGGCCTTTTGTATGTATTGACAGGGAAGCTTTCTGATTTCACAAAACGAGCATTTTGGTTTAGCTTCATCACACTTGGTTGGTAATCAGTGAGTATAAACCATAAATGGGGTAAATGCTGGATATACCTTGATCTTTTTTGTCTTGCAAGTTTGACATCCGGCCCTCGACTTCTTATGGGGCCTTTTTGTTGTAAAAACAGCTGACATCTTGATCTTGTATTCAGGGAATTCTTCAAAACTCGAAATGTCCAGGAGTAGATGCTTAGTTCGGGAATATTGGCATCTAGCTATTGGATATTTGTTTAGAATATGACACAAGAAGGCCAAGTCATAGTAATTAAGGTTGCATTCACCTGACAGCAAGTAGATAGCGTGGAATCCGCTACAACGATAGCGATTAGGTAAAGTATAAAGTAGTTTGTTGCTTAGCAACAAGGGGAAATCCAGAGGCTAGTCGAATTCTAATGTGACATTAGAATCTTAACTCGGCAACTTTATTGAATTAGACCTTTATCGACTGTCAGAGGAGGCAGCCACTATACTGGTCGTTCTGTAGAAGTTTCCTCTAAACATGTGCAAATTGGTGAGTGCTGGGTATTGATTTGAGAGGCAGTGAATTGATACAGCGACATGTAATATAAAAACATAGAACACAGTAGTATTGAATGGATTTGGAAAAGTAGGGAAAAAGTGGAATAGAAGGCTTGAAAGTTTATCATCATATTTTGAAGTCTTTTTGCTTTGGGGACCCTCGGATCCTTTGGAGGCTTGGAACTAACTACCCACGTCTACCTAGGTATTTCAGGAAATGGCACTGGGCAGAATGTACGGGTAAATGCCGGTAATATGTCAGCTCCCGTCTTAGCCATGGAGCTACAGCCTTGCAAGAAGTGCTAGCCGATCCACTCACGTGTTGACGCGCCTTGGTATCCATGCCGTTTACCAAGTACCTTGCGCTAAGTACTTTCATCTCAGCCTTGCAATAATTCTCGATTTGGTTGTCTGCAAGAGGCAAGATAATTACAGAATGGTTGCCCTATTTACTTCACCACATGAATTGGTCCTTTCTTCATTAGCATCTGAATTTCCATGTAGAGAACAGCAGATTCGCTCTCTAACCACTTTACTTTCTGTAAGTCTAGCCTTGCTTTACTTTACAGCTGTACATCTGAATGTAAACTTACCTGTGTCTTTAGATCCAAGCTGCTCCAAGCAGAAACATTGTACTTCATGGGCTTGAAGCAACAGGCAAATCTACAATAACGAAAGCTGTCCTTGAAGCATTATCGGCCCATTCCCCGGCAAACAATAGCACTCCCGAGGAGCATTTCAGCAATGAATTACAATATGCCATAATTAAAAGCGCAGAATGTATATCTGGAAGGCATTTGTTAGAACAAACTATAGGAGCTGTCGCGAATGCGGTAGAATGGAAAGAGAATATACCGAGGTGTGAGAACCTCGCACAATTAGTAGTGGAGGTAGGAAAATTGCTCGAAGGTTGGACCGCGACGAATGAGGCACAAGCTGCAAAACAAAGATTCGTCCTTGTTTTTGATGGCGTTGATCGACAAAGAGAAGCTCCTCCTACTATGCTGCCAGCTTTGGCTCGAATGGGTGAGATCGTAAGTTTGGTCCCAACCTCAATCAGTGCAGTCTATAATCTAACAACTACAGATTCCCAATCTTACCACGATTTTCATCACTACAATCCCTCGACCTAGCTCTTTCCACCTCCCTGGAATTCCTCATATTCAATTCCCATCATATACTAAATCAGAGCTTGTGACGATTCTCTCGCGAACTTGCAAACCCTCTCCTAGACTCCCCGACGGTTCCAAGGAAACGTCCTCCATTTGGGAACGATTCATTCCCACAACTTATGACTCCCTTTCCAAATACTCAGGACGAGACCTTGTTTCGTTTCGCCAGATCTGCCTTCAATTATGGCCTACCTTTATCCAACCAATACTCAATGGGACATATACTTCGAACGAATTCTCTCGCCTTCTCATCGCGAATCGTGCACTTCTCCAAAATGATACACTTCTCACACCATCTGTTCTTGCTCCTATTACGTCTGTTTCCGTTCCCAAAAATGGAACTTCTAACACAAGCACCGCTCAGCTTCAAGCCCAAAACAACATTACAACCCATCTCCCGTATCACACTCGTCTTCTACTCATCGCCTCCTATCTTGCTTCTCACAACCCCCCTCGCACAGATCAGCATCATTTTCTCCAACAAACTGCAACCAAGCGTAAAAAGCGCGGTGGTGGTACGGCTCTCACCGCTTCCACCTCTCGACCCGGCGTTTCTAAATCACGTAAAATTCCTCGCAAACTACTTGGGCCCCAGGCATTTCTGCTGGAAAGAATGATCGCTATCTACCATGTGTTACTCGAAGATGCCGATGGTCGAGGACGCTATTCGGCTACAAATGGAAATTTGAAGAGGAAAACCAAAGGACTAGGCGCTGGAGAAGCGGACATACAAATGGCTGTTGCGACGCTAGCTAGCTTGCGCTTGATTGCTAAAATGGGGAGTGCAAATGCGGCAGATACTTTGGATGGAGGAAGCAGATGGAGAGTTGCGGTGGGATGGGAGGTAGTCAGGGGGATTGCCAGGAGTGTAGGAGTTGAGGCAGAGGACTATCTGGCAGAATAAATGTCGACTTGGATTTTGGAAAAACGAGTCAACTAAAAGAGCGGCATCACACGCATATGAGAATGTCCCATGAAACCCTCAATATGTAGGGAACCGAGTCGATATTTCATACTTGCCCTCGAAGAAAGTGGGCACATCACTAATGTCAATCACTCGCTTGGACAACCTCGTTAAAGAGAGCGGCCCTTCGTGTACATTTACCTACATATCTTGAGCTATGGTGATATTTCTGCCATCGCCGCCTGCCTCACGGAGACGTCTAAGATGGGTACTTCCGCAAGGTTTCGCTTCTACTATTCTTTGAGACAATTGGCAACCTGGAAGAGAGCGAAGGGTTGCCATCAGGCTGAGTCGAAGTGGAAATTTAGGCTGTATGGGATAGATGACCATAGCTACAGCAGCCCAACACAGGACCTCGAACTAGAGATCTAATAATTTAGGTGCAACACTTCAAGCAAGGAGACTTCAGATGATGAAGAAGCTTGGTGTTTTACCTAGATAGATACTTGAGCGAAAATACAGACTGTGTCAATATAAAACATAATGTATAATACAATAGAGATTAAATTACCAGATCATACAAATTCCATGATTTGTTCTCTGCTGAAACAGGGTCCAAAGCTATTTGTTGATATAACAGATGATTGCAATGTTTTTGCCAAAGTAATACACAAGAAAACTACACCTAGGTATGAAACTATCCAGAATCCATCACATAGCTTGAGAATCTCAGACAAAGTCAGTAAATTCCACACAACACAAAACCAACACGCCAAGATTAATTATTTGTTTCCATTTTCGTTTCTATTCATATAAAAATACACACAGTGCAGTACTAACACTCTCATCCAGTGACTAGTCATGTTTCCCTGGTATCAGAAAGAGAGAAAGACAGTAAAGCTTGAAACATCCTCAATAAGCCCTATTTTGTTCAACTTCCATAGTCCCAAAAATAAACGCCCAGACGCTCCTCCTAGACATATTCCACCATTCTATGAATTTGTAAGAAAAGAAAGACTACCATGCTTCTCCGATTGAAGTCTTTTTGCTTGGTAGTTTTCGAATAGTGCATGCCTTGCCAGGCCATTCCCACACTCCCATGTGAAGCCAAGCCAAGCCGAGAAAAACGACCAAATGATGAAACTCATCGATCCGATTCAATTGAACGCCAATCATCAATATCAAAACCGCCATCGATTCCAATCAAAATGCTTTTCCACCAACTCCCTCACCGGCCAAGACCCTCAAATGACTCTCACTTAACTCGCTTTTCAAGCCCATGCTTGCACTTTCTCGACTCAATCTATCCCAATGCTTCAAACCCTTCCTGAGTTTTTCTTGTTTCTGTTTAACTTCCTCTCTTAGAATATCCGCTTCCTCTTCCTTCTTCTTGAGACGAGCTGCGAGATCTGTGGGGATACCCGAAGCTGCTGGGTCGATTCTTCCCCCAGGTATGATAGGTGGAATACCTACCATTGCTGGGTGAATACGAGGACCCGATGATGGACCTGAAATAGAACCGCGGCTATGATATATACTGGAGGAATGTTGAAGAGAGGGACGAGACGAAACCGAAGTGCCTGCGCGGGGACCTGTGGGTATACCGGAAGGGCCTGTTGGTGCAGCAGGAGGAGTTTCTCTTGCTGGAGAAGGAGAGACACTTGGTGGAGGACGGGGTGGTGGCAGGTTTGTTATTGTGTTTAAATCTGTGTTGGGTCGGGCTGGTGGTGCTGCTCCCCAAGATGAGGTATCTGGACGACTGTGGCGCTCGTTGCTAAATGATGGCCGACCACCTCTCAACGAAGCGGAAGGGCCACGAGGTGGAGCGTAACCACGTGGGCCAGATGGAGGAGCGATGTGACCATTACCCTCTGAGGTACTATTAGATCTCGAATTATAGTTTGAAGAAGGACCAGATGGAATAGGCGCAGCGAAGTTGCGACCGCCACTAGGCCCGGTTGGGGCTCTAAAAGCTGCCGCTGGCCCTCTAGGAGGCGATCTTGGAGCTGTGGGACGAATTGGCGAGCGATCCTTCGAAGCAGATCTCTCCTGTTTTACTTGTCTGTATGCCAACCCTGAAGGTGATCGATCTCTGACAGGTACTGGAGAACGTATTGCTTCACGAGTCGCTGCTTGCGTTAAAGCTTGTCTGCTAGGGTGAACAGGCGGAGATGATCGACGAGAATTGGTGCCAGAACTTCTACCTGATGATCTTTCCGAATCACGAAGTGCTGGTGAAGGAGATCGACGCCTGATCGGGGATGGCGATCTTCGGCGTATGGGTGGTGAAGGTGAACGACGTCGCCATGTTTGCGAACTTGGACCGAGGGGAGTGCGAACATCTCTGGGGTCGCGACTGCGGGAGCGACGCCAGGAACCACCTCTTGGGCCTGGAGGCGGCGACCTTCGAGGAAGGGGAGATCTAGCTCTGATGGGGGATCTAGGTCGAAGAGGTGTGCGATTACGATCGAAAGGTGACCTTGAACGGCGTCTGAAGATTGTTAGGTTTGAAGAATTTTAAATTGACGATAGTAAACTTTACCTTTCATCTCTTCTTGGTGACCTTAATCGATCTCTGCGGTCATCATCTCTTCTGGGAGAAAATCTTCTTGGAGTTCTGGCTCTTATTGGAGTTCGACCTCCTCGAAGTGGAGATCGGGGTCTGCCACGCCAAGTCATATCTCGAGGTGGTGACCGGTCTCTTGCGCGATATGGTGGTGTCCTTGACCTACGTCTTGGAGAACGATCTCGTGCGCTAGGGTGATAACTGTCGCTGGACAAAGGTGGAGTTCGTCGATCTCTGCGAGGTGACCTATCTCTGTCGCGATCGGATCTGAAAGTGTCGGCTCGCGGTGGTGAACGTCGGTTATGATTAGGTCTATAAGATTCACCCGCTCCCAACCTTGTGACTTCGCCGTCACCTCGGATATCCAATCTGCGATTTTTATTCGTCAGCACTTCCTTTCTATTATTCGAAAAAGATTCCGCGTTCCTCGGCCTTAGAGCAGCCTCGAAATTCCAATCAGCCCTAATCGTGAGGTTCTCAATATGCGTCAGGTCGATTTCCTCTTCAGTTCTGACCGGTGTGTATGTTGCGTCTTTGGGATTTTCAATTTTGACCATTAATTGATTGTAGCTTGAATCAACACTTTTCTCGTTGCTATTCATGAGATATTTTGTATCACTAGTCTGCGAGCCCCCTTCGATATTCAAGCTTCCAGGGGTCACAGAACGTGCTCGAAGCTGGGCCTCATACCAAGCCAAATGACGAGTACTAGCCGCTCGGCCAGGTATAGCTCCAACTACAGCCTCAGACGATATAAGATATCTTCCTGTTCGCGCACGACTGGTGAAATAATCTTCTCGTAATGGCTTCTCCCTAGAGCATTTCTTGCTTTCTGGAAACCCTCGACCGTTGAAGTGCTCTCTACAGGCGCAAATGTGGAAATCGGCAGCGCCGTGCGACCATGAACAATATTCGCGGGTTCTTTGAGCAAAGTAGTTGTGTGCGAATTGTATACTACTATTCATCCAATCCCATATAGCTTCTGGGTGATCTTCCAGGTGATCTCCTGCGTCCATTCAAACAACGGTAGCTTTGGACCAACCTGCCAATAACGTATGCTGCGTGTTTGCTCTTGGAGGTTATGGATTTTGTATTGATATTGCAAGTTCCTTTAATGTTTACGGTGATCCGGCATTGATGTATGTATGCATTTAATGTCGATATGCCATGTTGCTATCCGGATACTATATACATGGGAATAAAGTAAATAAGAACTAACCTTCTATCTCGTCCTCTATCCATCTTGGGCTTCTTGTAATATGTCCCGTGACTATCCGTTCGAACTTTCCTCAGATGAGTTAAAATATGCTTCAAGTTTTGGTATTATATCGTCTCAAATCGTTGTTGTGTCATGTAAATATTTGAACATAAAATGGCGTAGAGTGAATTAAGATGTGATGAATTCATGTCGCAGTTTCCAAAGCTCCAAAAACAATTTCCAAGCTGTTGAAAGTACACTAGCGGCCGCCTTATCCCGGGCACGTTTGTATCACGTGCGGATGAGAGGATTGAACGAGATATTGATTTCTTGCAGTCTTGTGTCGAGATCTGTTATACAATTGAATGCCAGGAACAATAAGTACAAAGAGTGTCAATCGTAGAATCTATTTCACACACATTTCCATTGCCTTCCCAGTATTCTGATATTACATACGAAAAGCACCAGTAGTGCCTTTGCCAACCTCCATTCAACGCCGCATTACATCTTTCCCATCTTAAAATCTGTAGGACCTTTCTCTCTTCTCGCCTCGTTTTTCTTCATCTCTCTTTTGCTTCTTCCTGCTCTCTTGAGCAATCATATCACTTAAATCTTCATCATATTGCCAAGCTCCTCGTTCCTCTTTCTTTTGAGCCTCAAACCTTCGTTTTACTTCTTCCTTGCTTATACCATCCTCATTCTGCAAAGAATCTGGATCCAACGCAACATCTACATCTCCTGGCTTCTTCCTCTTTCTGGTATCTTCTTGTCCTAATACTGGTAAATGCGCATTTTGACCAGCACGTACATCATAAGCTCTTTCACCGCCAAAGAAGCCTTCAGCGCGGATCTGGCGTTCAGGAATGACAGTATAAGCAGATCTTGGGTGTGTGGACTCTTCAGTCTCGGTTCCCCTCTTTTGTTTACGAAGATCAAAGTCTCCGCCAACACTCATCTCACCAGGGTATTCTGATGGTACAGTTGACGCCATACCACCTGGTGTTTCGGTACCACTAGGCGTTTGCAAACCACCAACGTCCTCCTCATCACCTTCCTCTTCTTCCTCATCGCTTTCCTCTTCTTCTTCAGACTCCTCCTCAGGTGCTTGTAACTCACCCCACAGTGTTCTCTCAATAGGTTCACCTGCTTGGTTGTTAACTTGTGGTTGAAGGACACCAAAGATATCTCCTCCATAGAGGGGTCGATTGAACTCATCAACGGGGGGTTTTCCATAACCTCCAGGATGAAATCCCCATGCGCCACCCGGTGGAGGTGGTGCATTTAGCCCGGGAATCTTAAGTGAAGGATATGAAGGCGGTGGGCCAAACCGTTGTTGGTTGATTAACCATGGAGGCGGAGCTCCAGGTGGAATATTTAATGCGTCTTTGAGGTCGTCGCTCAACTCGCCAGGCCGCAAATGTCGTAGATTCGTCTCGTACTCCTTTCCCTCGTAGTAAACCTCGCCATAACGTGTTAGTTCCGGCTTTGTTTGAAACCGGAAGAAAGCTTCATACAACTTTTGATAATCAATATCCAATTTTCCCATCTTTGGCTGCACTCTTTCCCTTTGCTTCTGTTTTAAACTAGCTCCATCCTGTTTTTCCAACACAGCGTCACGCATTTCGGCGATACCAGTCTCCTGAATAAACTTAGGAAGAGAAAATGGAGCCTTCTCAACACCACGTTTCGATGATAAATACTCGCGCTTAAGGGACCAATGATTCGGCACTGGAACGACATTTCGATATGATTTGATGTGGACAAGTAATCGAGGATCCGAAGCTGAGGTATCTGTCCAATCTACAAGCTCTGGCTTCCTTACGAGAGCTTTCAGTTCTGCAACAGAAAGCTTGTCTCTCTCCTTCCTCTTCTTTTTAGATAATTTGGGCTCCTTATCTGCTTCTTCGTCCTCGTCTGGAATTTCGTCATCACCATCGAAGAATACTTCGCCCTTGTCACCATTGTCTGCATCTTTCGCAGCCTGATCTTCTTCAGCAGTAGCACCAAATCTTTCCATAATATCCTTGAACATGGCGAAATTTGGATCATCTTCAGAAATGTTAAAGGCTGCAATATCTGCTTCCAAAGGATCTTCATCGTTTTTGGCTTGCTCTTCGTCGTTCTTGATCGGTTTCTCGGTGGTTTCGGCAGGCTCAGCTGCCTCGACTTTTGGTTCTGATTCTTTTGGAACATCTGCTTCTGGTGTTGGGGTCACCTAGAAATTATTAATGAATGTGAGTTTCAATAATATGCTTAGACCAACCTGTGCTGCCTTCTTCTGCTCCTTCTTCTTTGCGCGCCGCATTTGGTTTTTGGTCATTTTCGGCGCCATCTTTGCGACCTGGGGGCCACAAGCCCAATTGACAAGATTGTGACTTAAATTCGTGAAAAGGTCTCTTCTTCGAGCTTTGCATCAATATATCTGGTATTTGGATTTCATATGATAGCTCTGCGATTCAATAATTCGTCAACTAGAGATAAAATAAAAGCTCGTCGCGATGCTCGATGTAGGTATTATCGAAGAGAGTTAATATCAAATCGCGATTATTTTAGCGTCGGTAAATCCCGTCAGAAATTACGAAATCTAGAGCCGCTGCTAATTAAGTAACAACTTTTAGTCCTTCGAGTACGGCATCGTCATTATTGGTTGATACAATTGAATTGAATACTCTCATGTCATTGTTACACACAATCTGGAACTACGAGTACAATCAACACTTTCTCCGCGCAATGAATATTTCGGGTGATAATCACAATTCATAGTTATATAATTTACAATGCCTCATTCGACTCGAGGTCCGTCGCCTGGTCGAATTGCACAAACGAGCTTCAAATTTCCTGGTGATACGAAGGCCAGCTCGCGCACATCCATGGAGAAGTTTCCAGATCTCGATACCTCTGATACCTTCGATCAATATGATGGACAACATTCTTATAACTCACGGAATCCCAATGGATATCCCGGTGGTGGTCCTCCTCCAGTGGATCGTTGGCAGGCACAAAGAAATGGTAGGATGGGAGGGGATTCTTGGACAAATGGAGAATCGAATAGTGGCAGAGGACACAGAAAACAGAAGAGTTTGAGTGATGCATTCAAGACAATTAAATCGAGAAAGGGGAGTATGAGTGCCAATGTACATGAAATTTCGGATGCCCTAAAGGCTCCAGTCTCTCCTAAATTAATTGTTTGTAGACATCTCCTACGCATAGTTGGCGAAGACTAATTTAATTCGTCCAGGTCTTATGTATAGTATGGTATCTTTCAAGTGCCCTGACAAACACATCTTCGAAATCGATTCTAAATGCTTTCCCGAAACCTGCGACTCTTACTCTTATACAATTTGCATTTGTCGCATTCTATTGTCTGTTTTTCTCCTGGCTTTCCGCGACTTTTCCACAACTCAAAAATGCAATTCCAGCTCTACGACATGGAATTCGATATCCCACACGAGAAGTCATTATGACTACTCTACCTTTAGCGGCTTTCCAAATCGGTGGCCATCTTCTATCTTCCACGGCGACAGCTAAAATTCCGGTCTCACTGGTTCACACAATCAAGGGGCTTTCCCCCTTATTCACAGTGGTCGCATATCGACTTATATATAATATCCGTTATCCAGTGGCTACATATCTCTCCCTCGTTCCTCTCACACTCGGCGTTATGCTCGCCTGTTCCGCAGAATTTAGAGGAAATATATTTGGTATAATCTACGCTTTCCTCGCAGCCATAATATTTGTCACCCAAAATATATTCTCTAAAAGGCTCTTCAATGAAGCCGCAATCGCAGAAGCAGCAGGTCAACCGCGTACCAATAAATTAGATAAGCTCAATCTCCTCTGCTACTCGTCGGGACTCGCTTTTCTTGTTACATCACCTATCTGGTTCTGGTCAGAAGGTATCACTCTCTTAGGTGATTTTTTCCACGATGGATCTCTTGATTTGAGTTCCCACCCCGAAGCTTTCGACCACGGACGTCTAGCCCTCGAGTTTGTCTTCAACGGAACATTCCACTTTGGTCAAAACATCATCGCATTCGTTCTTCTTAGCATGGTTTCTCCCGTCACCTATTCTGTTGCCTCTCTCATAAAACGTGTCTTCGTCGTTGTGATCGCTATAATCTGGTTCCAAAACCCTACAACCAAGATTCAAGGTCTGGGAATTGCTCTCACATTCTTCGGTCTCTACCTCTACGACCGGACCAAGGGTTCCAACAAAGCAGACCGCAAAGCCAAAATGTTAAATATTAAAGAAGAATCTCTTCTCCCTCTAAACACAACCTCCGGTAGACTCACACCCGTCACTCAAGGCCAAGTCCTCTTTGAATCTCCAATCCAAGCACGAGGCGGTGGATACTCATTATCGTCTGGAAATTCGGATAACAAGAGATCAGATGACAATTCGTTTGACAGAAATGGGAGGCTGAGGGGTAGTAGTAATGCTTCTTGGCTACCGCCTGGAACGAAACAGGAGGATACTTGGAAACCCAGAGAGATTATTGCGAATGGACCTGGGAACGGGAATGGGAATGGCATTTCTGTTAACTAAAGTGCTTGTCGTTTGGAGTTTCATAAATAGAGGAGATGGATTTTTGATTTGGTTTAGATTTTTCCGTTATTTTGTGCTATTCTAGTTCCTCTACTTGCTAGATAGATACCTACCTACATAGGTACTTATGATATCAACGAAAATGCACATGCGCAAGCAAGCAAAGCACTCCACGAAGTGTCAGGTATACATATATAGATACCCCAGCTGAGGTACGCACGAAATGCACATGAAAGGGAGTAATGGGCGTTAGGACAATAATAGAACATTTTGAATATGGTTTCTAGAGTCGCACTGACTGACTCTGTCAATCACCCTATTGATAGATGGGAGTTTTCGGTTCGGCGCTTGAAATTTTTCTGTAGGCAGTATGAGAATAGAATAGATTGGAACGGAGTGGAGTGGAATGGAATGGCGATATGAGGTTTATATAGCAAGTAGTGGAATAATTGATATCTGTTCCAGATGGATGCAATGTAATGCGGTGTGTGGGCGCAGGTGTTGATTGAGAAGGATAGATCTTTAAATTTGAATACCTATGGCGTGAAGTTGAAATCAAAGGGAAATATATACAAGTGACGATATGCACGAAGACATTCTTAAGTTAGTGACAATTCCGGTGAGCTCTGGAATTCTCGTCAAAAATCATACTTGTATGTCAATCTTTTCTCTCCCTACATCACTATATCATCAGTCCCACACAGCAATATAGAAACCCATCACATCACACACCACTATACGAGTCCATTCATACACCAGACCATCTTGATATGTGCAAAGCCAAATTATATTTATACAGCCATTCCTTTATTGGTACTATAATACAACGCGGAAGAAAGGCTAGCAACATAGTATGTAATCATGATTCGTATGTGTATCCGCGTTCAACAATGCTCCGCAAAGAAGCTATCCGATCCCTAAACAATTCATAGAGTTGTGATACCCAAGCCTTCCTATGCCATCCTATTCGTATGTTCATAATTCGTAGCGCACTGTCCTTCCGTCCATCAAATGCATATGAGTCAAGTCCAACCTTTCCCAGCCATTTCCTCATGCACCCTTTGACTCCCCTTGCTTTCCCTCTAAACATAATCAACTGATCAAAAAAACTTGCAAATCATGCTCCAATTTCCGTTGCGCCTCAAAGTGGATCACCAAGCTACTCCTTCCTCCACAAACCCATCATCTCCATCCCAGTCATCATCACCTTCAGGCTCGCTGTCCAGAAAGTCCGCCTCACCAAACTGCGTCTCGGCCGGTCTTAAATTGTCAATTCTGACATTGACTACCTCACACATTCCTTGAATCACATTTCGCTTTTGTTTCGCTTTTCCCTTGCCCTTGCTGTTGACATTCCGGTTCATAACCTTACTCTCACCACCACCATCAATATTCTCATCACTTACATCTTCATCTCCATCTTCATCTCCCAAACTAGGAGTCTGAGGTGGCGAAGAAGGAAATCCATCAATCCCCGCAGTAATTTTTAACAAGCGAATTTCCCGAGAAGCACGTTGACTTCGGGCAGCCTGGCGAGCTGAAGGAACTGATGTAGATGGAGGTGCAGGGGTGGATGTTACACCATCATCATCTCCATCTTCCTCCTCTTCTTCATCTTCCTCGTTGTCAATTTCATCATTAGAATTGTCAGGGCTTTCAGCATAGTTTGTACGTTTAGCGCGTGTGCTGTGACGGAGTGGGAGGGAGTTTCTCTTTGGTCGAGCTTTTTGCTTCTTTGGGGGACTTTGGCTCTGATCAGTATCTTGGGTATCTGTTTCCGATTTGTAAAGTTCAACTCTTGGTAATTGCGCAGCTTTCAAAAAATGCTTTGGGGGATCGCAAACCCTCTTAAAAACTTGTCCCAAAGTGCCGATCCATTTATCTCTAAAGGCAGCCCTATCTCTCCATGCGATGTTAATACTTGTCTGCAGAATCAGAATTCGGAGATCCGAAAGCTCGCCTGCACTATCCAACAAGCTTTGAAAGAACATTTCTGCGGCTTGTTTGTCCCATTTGCGTAAATTAAGAAGCTCAAGGGATTGGAGCGTGGTTGGCCATTCAGGAATTTGATTACTCGTAAGTAACTGATCATAATCCGGCTCAGCACTGTGGTATGAGATATGTGCATCGAAGTATTGAAGGTCCATTCTTAAGACTTCCAGATATGGACATGCTGCACCAAGTGATGGCAGAAAGGCTAGGCTTAAGGCAGAGTTATGATTGAGCGTGAGACAGCGAAGTTGCCTGCCACTAGTCAGGAGATATTCGCCAAGCATTTCAGCAGTGACCTCCCAACAATTAGTGATTTCCAGATTTCGCAAATTTGATGGTAGCAGGGGCATCAATTTCGCATTAAGTAGCGTCGATGATTCGAAAATCAAGTGTTCCAGTACCTCCAGGGCGGAAATCGCTCCACCTAATAATTCCTCAAGTTTTGGATCCTCCTCGCCTTTTTTAGGGTGTCGAATTTGGTAATTAACAAACGCAATCTTCTTTAGTCCGATGAAAGATGGCTTGAGGTGAATCTCGCGAATCTTTTCAATGGGCCATCTCTTACCTGCTAGTCTGGACGACCAACGCCAGCTTCTTAGTTTGCACAGACTGGTTTTATCTCCTTTGGTAATATCTGCAGCCGGTTCAACATGCTCTAGTGCTTCAAAGACCGCAACTGGATATTCCCATCTAATCGAATCGTCAAGTTGTTTGAAAGGCTTCGAATCTTTCTGATCGTAAAACTCCAGATCCGCCAATCTTGGCAAGTCCTTTATTAAGCCATGCAAATCCAGAAGTCCACTGCCAGGTAAAGAATAGGCAGCAACTTGCCTGACTTCAATGCGAAGGTTGACAACTTTCTGTCTGTAGCCAAAAGTCAACATCGCAGGGTCAGATTTGAGTAAATCTACGAGTCTAATCAAACAATTAGCTAGGGAGCTTTCATCCGGAATTTCAAAGTTACTTACCGATGTGCTTTATCCATTGGAACAAGAGGAGGCGAATTGTACAATACTGTAAAGGCTGGTTCGGCGAACCCCCGACAAAGATATGCGACATCTAGCAGCCATCTTCCAGATGGAAGAGGTTGAAAGGTTCTTTCTTCGTACAGTGGATATGTGGCGTACTCAAATATTTGCACTAGGACATGATACGGAAGAGTCTGCCATGGCGGAATAGCTTCGGGATTTACCACGAGCATAGCTGGCGACTGAACGCGGGATCTTTTGCTAGAGGCTGATTGATTCTGTTTTCTTCTCTTCGGCGTTGATTCATGGGAATTGCATTGGCTTCGCTTGGCAGAAGAACGAGAGTGTGAAGCATTTCTCGAGAGTCTTGCGCGGGGCGTGTGAGTTGCGCCACTATAGGATGGTTCATTATCTTCGCCGTCCTCTTCTTCCTCCTCCTCCGAATCATGGTCAGTCGATGATTCTGCGTATGAAATTACCGGCTTCTGTCGAGTGCTTTTTGTAATAGCTACTTGTGGTTTATTATTCGCAGACCGTGGTTCCCGCACATTTCGGGTGCGTGCCCGAGAGCGTCTCGCAGGTGGCGCATGAGAGATATCACTATGTGATTGTTCATCGACATTGCCATTTTCTTCCTCTTCTAGATCGTCATCGCTGGTCGGAGGTTCTGCGTATGAAAAAGTAGGATTTCCTCTAGTAGATCGAGGTGGGGTTCGCAGAGCTCGAGTAGATATCGAAGATCTAGCCATGCCTATAAAACTTAGTTGTTTGCTGGTTGGAACTCATGAAGGTGATGTTGTGAGAGTTAAAGAAGCTGAAATGGACGATTGCAAAGAGAAGTATATCTTTGCACAGCAGCAGTATGATTTTTTGCTAGTGAGTTTCAACTGCAATTATGTATAGTTTGAAGGTGAAGAATTGTGAGAATTTCGATGAGAAATGAACAAGTATTGAATGGAAGAGCTCTCTTTACTTTTTCCAAACAATGAGATGATTCATTCACTTATTGGATATTCAATGATGTTGATCTTCTTACCTGTAGACAAGATGACACTAACGGCGATATCGGTTAAACCGATAAGAAATTTAAGGTTGAAGCTAAGAGCATATAACCCCTGTACTTACCTCGGTAACTCCTTCCTTAAGGAGACCTGCATCTTATGCTGCAAGAAATATTATGGTTCGATGCTGGAATAGGAGCCATTATTATTCAGCTTGCCCAGGTGATTGAAGATATACATGTGAATTTTTAAAATAGAGTATTACCTATTATCTTCGTTTCGTAGGTAGATGTGAGTATAGTGATTCACAAAAAATAAGGACTATAGCTCAAAAACATATCAAAAAAGGTTATTTTTTAGTGTTTTTAAAAAGCTATAATTCTTTATTAATTGAATAATTATATTACAAATTTTCAAATATAATAAAAATTCAATAGAATTTTGATTATAAATGAATGAAATTTTTTTAGAAATTTTTTGGGTTTTGATATTTCGATTTGAAATCTGAAAATTAAAGAATCAAAGAATATAATAAATTAATTATTAAAAATGTTACAAAATAGAATTTTAAATTTCTATTAATTTTAATTAGATATTTTAAAATGAAATGAATTTCTAAAAATATTTTATTTGTTTTTTCTTGAAATTTTTATAAATTTATATATTATGATAAAATTTTATTATAATTTAATATAAGGCTTTCTGAATACATAGAAATAAAAAGGTTGGAAAATAGCTTTTTTGGTGTGTTTTTTTAATTACGGCCCTTTTTTTTGGTCTAGTACTATATCTATCAGAATCAGAAAAGGAAGAGAGACTCAGATTCATATAGACATGTTGATTCAAACTATCGACGCGACAACACAAGTGACACCAAAAAAATATGTATCAATACAACCAAAAAAATAATTCGACTTCTCCCGCCCCCTTGAGCTACCTCTGAATAATACTCTACTACATGCCTCTGACACTTTGATAGTGTACGTTGCTTTATATCTTCTACTTAGGTACTCTTACCTCATACAATCTTCATTCCTCTTCTTTCGATTAATATTGTACTCAGATACTATAACCACACGCTCTTTACCCATAAGGCTGTTTGTCATTTTTTTTCTGTTCAATCGTGTAACACACCTTCCTATTTGTAAGGCCTTTCGAGTTACCCTTACAAAAACACGGCATTACGCGTGCGATATTTCCAAAAAGCTTCATTGTTTTGATACTGTGGATCCGGATGCTCAAGTACATACCTCCCAACCTAGGAAAGTACTCAAATAAAAACTACAAATCTTGGGAAATCAGCATTGGCTGTTCTCCTGGACCCTTTGTCGGTTATAATTTGGGATACACTTCGTCTCACCATTTCTTCTTTCTTTTGAAAGGCGCGTAGTGGCCAGTGAAAGGTTCAACGATAATGAAATGTCACCAGCAGGCATCAATGGAGGAGGAATCGGGATTGAAAATTGGTTATCAAATCATCGACAACCTTTCCGCCCCTTTTTACGAGGCAACCTCGACAAGGCTATAAGATACCGAGAGAAATTCAAGATGGGTTCCTCATATTCATCTCTCAAGGTTATCACACCGCCTCAAAAACATGAACGTGAAATTTTGGCACCTGATGAGGAAGACGATGAGGATGAAGATATAAGGCCTATCAAAAGAAGAAAGACGACCAATACCGACTTAGCACCAGTTTCGACTCATGATCCTTCAAGTCGATCCATGTCTTCAACTTCTACTGTTGCTTCAATAATGGAACCGTCTTCACTTAATTGTTCTACGAGTGAAGAATCTCCGCCGTCACGTTTACCTAGTAAATCTCAGGTAAATAAGATCAAGCCCACAGATTTTTACGGTCTCAAAAAATCAAAGCCCGATCGAGTTCGTATTGACTCTGTACTGAAATTAACAAAAACTCCCGTAGACTTCCGGAAATTGCTACGGATCCAGGTTGCTAGTATCATCCAGAATTCAAGTTTTGAAGAAACTGGCGATGGAAACACGAGTCAATACTCCAATATAAAGTGTACTTTGGTTTTGCTCCGTATTTTGGAAGATGGGTCATTTACAGATATCTATCGACAACCTCAGACTGGGAGAATTCGAATGATAGCTGAAGGTCGTCAAAATGATACCTTTCCCATATACTTACCACCCTTTATAATACCCTCGGAGGTCCTTTCTCAAGATCCAACCTCTGGTGATTCATTCGATGAACTAAAAGCTCCAAACCAACTTGGGAAATATGGAGTTCAACTTTTGATCGAGCCATTCCGCGCCAATCGAAGAGACTGGTTGCCTTTGGCACTTTCCAGTCTACCACATAACAGTCGCCTCGCAAAAAGAATATTCAAAGGAGAATCAGAGCTGACAGATGTACGTCAAATAAAATGCGAGTTTTTGCTATTCGATTGGGATAGCAAGCGAAGCACAGCAGAGATTGAGATACTGTATGATGGGGAAAGTATTGAAACTTCTGCATCATTGAAATTGGATGTACAATGGTCACTCCCAAGTCATCTACATAAAAAAGAAGAACATATCGAAGTACCAAAACTGCCGACGCCGGTTCCAGAGTTAGCTCCTGAGTTAAATTTGGCTCAAATTTTGTCTCCGCAAAAGGCAACAACAACAGATCCCGAAAGCCCCTCCCGTGGTCAAAGACGTGTTCGTGCAAATGTTCCAACATATAATCTCAAAGCTTTGAGTGCAAAAGCTCAGGGCAAGAAATTAAGAGCTCATTGGGCTAGAGAAACTTCGGAAACTCCTTTCATGGCGACTGACGCCGGGGAAACTGTGACTTATACGGTCAGCAAAGCAAATGCAGAAGTGTATAACATCAAACAGACGCATGTGGTAGTGGGATTCACGTGTCCTATATGCAATCTAGATACCAAATCTATGAAAAGTCTTCGACTCCATCTCAAAACCACACATTTACGATTTACATTTCACGTTCGCCCCAAGTCTTCGTTTTTCATCGAAATCAACAAAGAGTCTCGAAAGTCGAGGGAGATTCATCCTTTACAAAGTATCCAGTTTGGGCAGGTTAACACTTTGTTGGATATGGAGAAATATCTTTCTGGTGACTATTCTTGGGCGGAAGATAGGGAAGGGCCTCTAAACAATCAATGGCCAAATTCGGAAATCCTTGGTCGTTTGAACTTCAAAACTACTTCATTTCCATCACCCGAAACCTCACGCCAAACTTCACGCCAAACCTCACCAGAAATGTCGAACAATGATCTCGACACAAACGAGGATGAGAGTTCTACCCCGCTACCTGGTTATATTAGACGCCTGGCTCTTTCACCAGCTAGAACCAAGGATAAGCACTACGTTCCTGATATTAAACATGGTCCATATCCTAGATCTGCATATGCTCCTGACGTCAAAACCCGGGAATTTAATGATTACCGTACGAGGCGGGTTTTGAAATCTGGAGATGAGTTACCCGATACTGATGATGAGAATGACGAATCTTACCTTCTCCATAAACGAAAATGGATTATTAATGATTACACGGATGTTAAATATGACGAAAAGGAGTACTTTATTAAGTGGGAAGAGTTCATAATGGCCGAAAGGCTCACTAACCAATCTCATCTTCCGGAAACAATCACAAGATTTGTAGCGAGAAATCGCGTTTGGTTTGCCGAGAAGAAGGCTCGAAAGAAAGAATGGCGCAAGCAGATTGAATTGTGGGTAGCAAGGGGAGATCTCAAAGTCGGTTCAGTTATGTCTTGTTGTGAAAAGATGTTTGAAAAGGGAAAGAAGGAATTGGAAGAGATGAAATCCAAGTCGAATTTGGAATCAAAGTCAATTCCAGACGTGGAGCCCGCAGACGTAGAGCCTATGATGAGAGGTCCTCATGATTGCGTGTGCGGTCATCAAGTTTCAGTATGGCAAAGTAATGCTATACAGTGTAGTGGCAGAGTAAGTTTATTTATCATATGTTTACTCTAGGTGTACCAGACTAATTGCTTTATAGCTTTGTGTTGATGGTGACTACCATCGGGAGTGTGCTGAGAAGTTTGGACGCCCAGTCGGGAGAGGTAATTGGTTGTGTGATCGATGCCATGCAAAAGCATCGGGAGAACAACCATCAGGGGAGAGTAGTAATGCACTTACAAATTATTCCCAGAACCGAATTTTACCGCAGAGGCGAAATATGTAGGTACTTAGCTAGCATTAGAAAGGGGGGAGGGAAAGCAAAAAGAGGAAGAAAGATAATCTTTCAGGAAATAGAGGATACTTAATTGAACATCAAAATGTAGATAATTACAACAATACAGTGAATATATTTCAAGTCGCCACCTAGAAGAATGTAGTTGTATCTGATGATGCATTCTATGTACTAGTTAGGTACTTCCCAATTTCCCTACTTTTTTATAGTTAAGGATATGAAATGATTTAATTTGAGTAGTGATAATTTGATACCCTTTTCCTACGCGAATTACTCGCTCGTTACGATTGCTCGTTGAGATTCCAGTTCCATATACATAATACGTACATGTACACTTCAAAGTTCTTTTTCACCGATTGTTACACGTCCGGAGAAAGGTTGCATCACAATCACATGAGTAATGAATCGTCTTTCCTTACTGTCTTATTCGTCGTGTTGTCTCGGCTTGAAGGAGTGGTGATGGGCTGGGGGAATAATGGGGGAGGGGGGCGGGGGATCATATTTATATAATGGGTTTAACTTTGAGGAAGGTTTAGGTATAGGGAAGTAGGGTTGGTGATGTAGAGGGGGAAGAACGAATTGGAAATGGAATAATTAAGAAAGGGTGATTTATACATCCATATACTAGGTAGGTAGGTAGGTAGGTAGGTAGGTACAGTTAATTTTGATTCACATGATATGTTATTCTGTTTGAATATTACATCACGTTCACATATATATTAACTCTACAGTTGTCTCTGTAATATGCGTATTGATATCTGGTACTTTGCCATCATTCATATATGAATGATATAGATCTATTGTTGAACTTAACCTCAGGGATATTCACGGATGTCCGTAACTTGTTTTGCATGGAGACACTGAATGAATATATCTACTTGCTCGGTATGGAGGTAGTATTTCTTCATATGGATTGGATAATATCAATATTAGAATATAACGTTTTGATCGTGAAATGAATGTTATGATAGGTAGTCACTGACCACTATGAGATGGGAATAATCAAGGTGGGAGGATGTGCGAAATGGTGAGGGTATTGAGGTATATCTTCATTTTCATCTCCATCTTCATTCTCATCTCCTTCTCCATCTCCATCTCCAGCTCCATCTCCAACTCCATCACCTTCTCCATCACCTTCTCCATCTTCAATTCCATCTCCAACTCCAACTCCAACTCCACCTCCATCTCCATCTCCATCTCCATCTCACCAACCTTGAAACTCATTCATACCAATTAAAAAGTGGATGAGTGGTGAAAGTCTATTCCCAGACCACTCCCAGACTATTACCAGATCAGACTACCTCCCTCACCATCACATAGAGCAAGGACCCCCAAAAAAAGAAAAGCCCCGACCAAACAATTCCACCACGACAATCATCAAACAAACCACCACCATAACCACACTCCTCGTAACCTTACCCCCGTACCGCAAACCGCAAATCATCTATCCATACACAATCACATACTACCGGTACATCCTACATCCTACATCCTACATACCACATACCACATACCACATACCACATACAACCTACCTCCGTCCATACATTATAATTTCACTATCCCTCGACAGACTTCACGAAATCGATAAGAGAAAAGGAGAAGGACCTTTAAATTCAAAGAGAGAGAGAAAGAAAGAAAGAAAGAAAGAAAGAGAATAATTGATTGAATCGCGAAATAATAAGAATCCCCTTCAATCTGGGATATAATTCAATTCACCTTTCTCGCATAATTTCGTCTTGTCACGACTCTATTGTGGTGCATATGGTATTGTTGCGACAATGATTAGGCCGTGATATTCACCAATAGCTACGAAACATCACAATAGCAAAAAAAATTATTCAAAACTGTCTATTGTCAAACTACCTACCAAATAACTTCACGTTGCGCGCATATCATACATCCGTTCTAATATTGGTAAGTTTCCCATTTCACTCTCTTCAATTCATCCATCTTTGTTTTCCATGCTTTCAACAATGTCACCAAAACATACTCCCGCCAAGAATGTCGTCCATACACCGCGATCGGATAGTGAAGAGGGGATTTGATCCGTTCGTGATTGCTGATATGCTTGCTACAGAGAGGATGGAAAAGAAGAAAGCTATGGAAGTCGCTTCGAGAAACACAGCTACCATCGGGGGACTGCAAAACCTATTTCGTGACTTTGCCCAAGATGAACTCCCAGAAGTGAGCTCCCACATTCGAGGAATGTCTTACCACGTTTATTGACTGTTTGCAGATGCCGCACCTCTTGGAAATCATCGATGCCGACAAAGGAAGATGGAATTCGCGATCACACGAAGAACTCATAGGGATACCTTGGACCCTACCCAACGAACATTCAGAAGCTCGCAGGCTTCAATACATGACGGTTTTCTCTACAGGAGATCGCGACCTTCAGGTGCCACGAGCTTTTGATCATGAAGATCCAGTCGAAAGTCCAACAAATAGTGCAGGTCGCAGTAGTTTGAATACTCCTCAAAGAGACCCAAACAAAAAGTTCTCTCTCGCGGCTTACCAAAAGATGAAGAAGGGTGGAATCAAGCCTACACCAAGAACATCTGATACCCTGGATTCAGTTCGTCCGAAAGGTCATGCAAGAACAACAAGCAATATCTCCAATGCGACTCCAACGGCTCGCGGATCTTTCGAGACTTCTTCAAATGGCGAAGTACAAAGGAATGGGTCCGCGGTACACTCTGCGAGTAGATCAGAGCATGTAGTCAAGAATGGAATTGATAGGTATGTTCAATGATTGATATATCCAGAATACTATTAGCAAACGCTAAGAACGTCATAGAAACCCCCCTTCCCGAAGCAACCCAAACAGACCACATCATCTCACCAATGGCGCCAATGGCGTCAAAACTCGCACAGAACAAACAAAGGATATTTCGAGATCAAAGGAAATCAATGCACCACAAAATAAATCATCCTCAAAAATGAGCCCTTCAATTCCCACATGGAATGCACCCATGAAGCACAGCTTACCTCCTCGACCACAGTCTCCACGAAGAGTGGTTTCAGATGGCAGAAACACTAAACGATCACTTGAATCAGATGAACCATCACATGCAGAAAAGCGTGCCAGAACTGATCGAGCGAATTCACATCTTCAAAAAATCGTCAAACCAGATAATAATTCGTCCAAGGGAAAAGCCCCTCCTTCCAATTTGAGCAAGTCAGATGACCACGCATCTAAATCCTCCAAGGGAGCAGGGGAGACGAAATCATACAAATCATCAGGAAAACCTATTAATCATTTACCACCATTACTATCACCACTTCCCGCTGATCTAACAACTCCTACCACGTTTGATAGCCCTAAGAAATCGGATCAAAAGGCATCCACATCAAACACTCCATCAAAGTCCAAGACTTCCGTCAGTGGAAAGAAACCTCCACCTAAAGAGTTATCATTGCAACAAGAATCACCAAAAACTCCTCCAAGAACTGTTTCCCTCTTTGTACTTCCACCTTTACTTTCACCAACGCTTCCTCCCATTGTTGAAGCAGCATTAGCGGAACATAAGCAAAAGGAAGGGGAAAAGACTACTTCTGCGCCTGAGCATCGTCAAGAAAAGTCGAATTTATTGACCGTTGAAGAACGACATACTCAAGCTCGTAAACCGGATGCACCTGGTGTTGCTCGTAAGACTGTTAGTGGTGCCAAAGTCGGTCATCCTCCAAAACGATCTGCCTCAAATACACCATTACAAAAAGCTCGTGAGGTTTCAAAAGCTCCAGCTACGAGTCAATCATTAATTGTCAGGTTGCCTTATCCTAAGAGGAAAGCTACAACCATTGAGCGATTAGTTCGATTATCACCAAGACCTTCACAAGATTTTACCAAACTTGAGAATATCAGAAAGAAGGAAGGCTTTGAAGCTATGATGGCTTATGATCTTTCAAAGAAAGAGAAAGCTCCTGTTTTATCTGCCAGTATTGTTATGGATCAATCGGTATCAGAATCTGAAGAGGATGTACCTTTATCAACTCAGAGCAGAAAGACCGTCTCTAGGAAACGCCCTAGTGATGTTCTACCTTCAAAATCTGAACCGCCAATAAAGCGGGCTAAACGTCCTGACAATCTTGATGTTACGACTGCTAGAAAGACTGTTCCTAGTCCATTGAAGTCTCCTACGCGCCCTGGTCCATCTCAAAAAGGTTTACTTGCTACACCCAAGAAGAATGAGGGTTCTAGGGGTACCGCTATGGTCAGGGTTTCTTCTAGTGATGGAAATCCTCAAACTCCCTCGGGCGCAAATATCACTGTAACGACTCCTCAGAGTATCTCTACGAGTAGATCTGACCAACTTAAAACTTTGGCTTATAGTCTCAAGAAGAAAGGCGAACATGAGACAAGGATTAATGGTAATCAACATCAACTTAAGCCTGTTGGTGAACGAACGGCTGGGGTCATGGTTGTAATTGAAAGTATCTGTCAGTACATGAGATATTTCAATAGACTTCCTTGTGCTAGTCCTAGAGAAACTAGCTACAGTCAAAGAAGTCAGAATGCTCAAAATTGGGATACAATTATTCCAATGCTTGCTTGGCTCAAAAATATCAGTGAAGATATTCCTGTTCTTCAAGTATTATCTGCTCATCTTAATGCTGTTTGCCTTGAAGTATCAACTCGTGCTTTTATTAGCATGCCTACTTCACCAGGTAATACTGAAGATGATCGAGCAAAGGATCGTGGAATTTGGTCTAAACAACAATCACAAGATTTGAAAAGGCATGATGCATGGAGACAAAGTCATCATGTTGGATACAAACTTTTGAAAGATTTGTCCTTAAAGGGTGAACCTACAATTATTGGACCGTGGACTAGTGTTGATACAATTACAGCATATTGCATGGAAGTTTGTACAGCATTCAACAAGAAGGACCAATGGGGTTGGAAAAAGCAAGTTGACTTTTAGTCACTTTTTATACTTCATGCTGGTTGTTCTACCTTGCTACGATTCCTACGATAAAATGCTCTTTGTAGTAAAATCCGACGTTTCACGAATGCGAAAATACAATTTCTCGGAATTGCTTCTTTATTATAACTTTACTTCTTCATATCTTTTGTTATCACACACTTTTTCTATAGGTATAATACCCAAAGCATTTCGGTGGGAATAATATAGGATGGTCATGGAAATTGGGATGGTGTAAGTGTGGGTGTGGATGGCGTTTGCGATATTGATTTTGTTTTTCGACTTGAACTTTTGCACATTATACGGTTTATTTTTTGGGGTGGGAGAAATGGTACTATACCCAGAGATGTTGCAATTGCTTTTTTTGACTTGCGGCGGGAGGAGTTGGAATGTGGAATGTGGATAGGGATTTAAGTGTTTTTGAGGGATGTTGTATGGGGTTTGGGTGGGATAAGTAAAAGATGGGATGGGACGGATGGGAGGAAGGAGCTTAGGATGCATAACTGGATGGATGAACGGTTTCTGTAGGTTTTTGAAGCATTTTGGGGGGGGGGGGTCAATGGGGCGTATCATAGAATGATGGATGGATGAAAGTGATCAAAATCAAGACACATGGATGGATGGATGGATGGATTAGATATAGTATATGCATGCGAGATAGTGAAGATGTATATACCTAGGTACGTTTGATATTTTCCGTACGGTATGATATGCAATAAATGGAACAGGAATCGATGGAATCAAATGGAATGAAATTTCTACAAAGTGAATATACTAAGTGTCGTTAGAAGAGAGGTGCTTACAGTATGTAGAAGGTTGAAAATGAGAGGTAGTATTCAAAAAGTGGTATTTGAATGATTTTGAAGATTTGTATGTGTATGTGTGTATGTATGTGTGTGTATAGGGACTTGGATTTAATATAGACAGATGGGCGGGTGGGTAGGTAGATACTTGGTATATCTGGATATCAATATGAACATAAATGTGAACACTCTATAGCGAGTGAGTCCAGTAGTAGTATAAAGATGTAGAAGTATCCATGGATACCTAGTCATGGATGTATATAATCGCACATTAAGCGAGAGGGGGGAAGGGAGGGAGGGGAGGAAATTTGTGTTTTGGTTTTGTAGGTATTTTGGTGGTTAGGTGAGTAGGTTATTATGTGGATATTTAACCTATATAATCCCTTTCTTTATTCAACATATGATTCGTTGAAATAAAGGGCGGGGAGGAGGGGGAGGAGAGGACAGGAGAGGAGAGGAGAGAGGGAGCAGAGAGAAGTCGGTGCGTATATTCTGGAAATATCGTATGTATACTCGCATTTCTATGTGTAAATATCTCAATATCTCCACATCTCAATATATAACCAACCTCTGTTATTATTCTGCAAAAGAGAATTGAATTTTCTATCTAGGATCTAGATGTTATTTTGATGTTTGAATTACTGTTACTGTTACTATTACTGTTTTATCAGGTTAGATCGATTAGATTAGATCAGATGTAATACGGTCCAATCTAATTCAAAAAATGCTATTCTTGTATTCTTGGAGTTGGAATAAGGTTAGAAATTGGAATGGGTGTTGATGGTATGAATATTGGTACGAGGATTGGTGTTGATGGGCATCAATCTCTTATACAGTATCGTTCTTTCATGAGAGGATGGGACTGGGTGTTGAGTATGGGATGCTAGGAATTGGAAAGGATTTTGAGATTGAGATTGAGATTGAGAATAATAGTTATATATTTTTTTCTGTGAGGAGGACTTGGATTATATCCTTGGTGCTGGAGTGCCGAAGTGTTGGAGTGCTGGTTGAAGGAAAAGAAGGGGGAAGATAAATATAAATGTAATACAATAGTGTTAATTGTAGGTTTGGTGGCGGGATTTGAAGAAGGAAGAAGGAGAGAGAGAGAGAGAGAGAGAGAGAGAGAGAGAGAGAGAGAGAGAGAGAGAGAGAGAGAAATACTATATTTAGATATAACAGTAATCCCGTCGTTCTCAAGCCATTATATAATTATAAGGATCACTGCCTCTATCACTAATGACGAGAGTTATCTAGCTACAGGAGAAATAAAGTAAACATATGTTTATTTATTATCCCCGGCTCATTCTCACAAGTATCAAGAACATACATATACCATATTCCGCATCCTATCCTCATCACATTTCCTCAACTCCAACTCTCACACTCATTCATTCCCATCCATCTCAACCTAAACTTCATTTGCCTGTAGTCATTCCCATTCCCAAACCTACCCAGTCTCCCATTACTAAACAACTACCTCTTAAATACAGATTTAGATCCAGATTTAGACTAAGATTCAATTACATGGACAAGTAAACAACAGATGACTGACTACACAGGTAATAACCCATTAAACCCACAGCGAGCAGGAGTAGAAAGTTTCTGCAAGATATGATTTCTGAATCTTTCAAATCAGTGTAAACATTGAAAGAACTGGAGAGATTCAAAGCATTCTGAACGTTCAAAGTATTCTAAATACTCAAAATATTCTAATCGTTCAAAGTGTTTGAGATATTCAAAACATTTTAAACATCCAAAGCATTGCACGCAAAGATGTCGGACAATCCAAAGCACCCAAAGCTATTCGATTTTTGCATTTGCATTTGCGTACTCAAGGCATCATTATGGCTCAGTAGGAGGCTCAAAGTCGTTGATGCTCACAAGTCCAGAATGATGTCATGAATACCTAGTATACATTCACAATACATCAAATCACATCCCATAAAATATTGTTCAACAAAGCAAGCAATCATACATCAAATCATTTAACATCAATAAAGAAAATAGTTGGTGAGTTGTTACAAGGCTTAGCTTTTAAAAGGCGATGCGATAATCAGAGGATATTTTTCTGTCTCGGACCTTCCCAAGTCTGTACACAGCCCAAGCTCCAACGCTGCCTACCCATTCCCCTTTTCATTCATCTTCATCTCTCATCCATCTGGAATTATACACATCATCCCCTTTCTATCATCTCATCTATTTCTCCCTATAAATCATGGACGTTAGCATATCGCAAATATACAAGAGCTATTCAGGTGGTAATAACTTACAAATCTGCGAGAATCTTCTCTCCCTTTGCACGTGCTGATGCAAAGTCACCAACCATATAGAAAGCACCTTCTGGCAAATCATCACCCTCTCCGTTCATGATAGATTTGAAACTGGCGATTGTGGTCTTCAAGTCAACGAGAACACCTTCGATACCAGTGAAAACGTGTGCGACAGTGAATGGTTGAGACAAGAATCTTTGCAATTTACGGGCACGCTCGACAGTCAACTTATCAGCTTCCGACAATTCATCCATACCAAGAATGGCAATGATATCTTGGAGGGACTTGTACTCTTGCAACATTTGTTGGACACGGGTGGCGGTATCGTAGTGATCTTGTCCGACAACACGGGGATCCAACATACGGGATTTGGAGTCAAGGGGATCGACAGCTGGGTAAATACCCAACTCAGAGATACCACGGGACAAGACAGTGGTGGCGTCCAAATGGGCGAAGGTAGTAGCAGGGGCAGGATCAGTCAAATCATCAGCTGGTACGTAGACAGCTTGGACGGAGGTAATGGAACCCTTGGTGGTGGTGGTAATACGTTCTTGCATGAGACCCATGTCGACGGCGAGAGTAGGTTGGTAACCGACAGCAGAAGGAATACGACCGAGTAGAGCAGACACTTCAGAACCAGCTTGGGTGAATCTGAAAATGTTATCAATGAAGAGCAAAACTGGTGAAGAAAGTTAGCAAATTTCATTTTTTTCATGGAAACAGATCTAGAAAAATTCACCATCTTGTCCTTCTTCGTCTCTGAAGTATTCAGCTACAGTCCTTTTTTGTTAGATCCTGGTTAGCTTGCGTCCTCCTTCATAACATAATCAGGTGTCGTGTGATGTTGAAGACAGATAGAACATTCAAAGGAGGTGATATATTTGAAGGTTGAACATTGAAATGAGGTGATGTATCAAAAAAGATTGGTACATTGAAGGAATGTGATGTGTTGAAAAGAAGTGGAACATTGAAAGGGGATGATGTATTGAAGAAAGGTGGTACATTGAAAGGTGGCCATATCTTAAAAAAAAGTGATGTAATGAAAGGAGGGGAGGTATCAAAAATGAGTACTTACAAACCAGTAAGAGCAACACGGGCACGGGCTCCGGGGGGCTCGTTCATTTGACCGAAGACCAAAGCGACCTTGGAGTCTCCATCAAGTTGGATGACGGAGGTCTCTTGCATTTCCTTGTACAAATCGTTACCCTCACGAGTACGCTCACCAACACCAGTGAAAACAGAGTAACCACCGTGTGCCTTGGCAATGTTGTTGATCAACTCTTGAATGAACACAGTCTTTCCGACACCAGCTCCTCCGAAGAGACCAATCTTTCCACCACGAGCGTAAGGAGCGAGTAAATCGACAACCTTGATACCAGTGACCAAAACCTCAGCAGCGGTGGATTGCTCAGTGAAAGGTGGAGCATCGGCGTGAATTGGTGATCTCTTGTTACACTTAATAGGTCCCCGTTCATCGATTGGGTCACCAGTAACGTTCATGATACGACCGAGGGTTCCTGCACCGACTGGTACCATGATTGGGGATCCAGTATCGGTTGCGCGGTGACCACGGACTAAACCTTCGGTACCTATAAACATATTCAGTCAATCATTGTGCTTGTATCCTTCAAGATCGAGTTCTCTTACCATCCATAGCAATAGTTCTAACGACATTCTCTCCCAGATGTTGCTGTTATCCCTGTCAGTCCGTATTCGACGTTTGTTTATTCCTTGTATTGTTGACGTACTGCGACCTCAAGAATGAGTTTGTTACCACCGTTAGTGGTCTCGAGGGCGTTAAGAATGGGTGGGAGCTTCTCGGTATCGAATTTAACTATTCAGATGTGGTCAGTATGCAGTTGCAGGGTATTGAAAGCTCGTCCCCCATGTAATCCCTAGATCCGGAGTTTGACGTCGTTGCCGAGAAAGAATTTTCCATGCCACTTACCATCAACGACGGCACCAATGACTTGATGGATCTTGCCGTGTATCGCACTATCACTAGCATATCTAGCAGAAGCAGCTCTTAAACCAGTTGACAAAGCTGGTCTGAAGGCGCTTCTTGAAGCCCGGAGGGCAGAGTTTTGGATGGCGCTATAGAAAGTTTTAAAGTCAGCTCAATTGGACTATTGCCACCCATTGCGACAGGGCGAAATATTTTCAAATATAAGTACGTACCTCCTGAACATCTTTACGGATGGAGAAGAGCGTTGAAGATGTGAGTGGAGATACAAAGATTGATGGAGGTATGGTATTGCAAAATGAGGAGGTAAATTGAAGCCAGCAGCAAAATGAGCTTCTCGACTAATTGTTAGCGTATACCCCCACGTGATGGCGTAAATTCCGACTTCCCGTTTTGACCCGAGTTGAGATCATCAACAACAACGTCGATATCAGAGAGACGAGATCGAATCTTGGAAAATGATACATTGTAAATGGATTAGACAATTGCTCAGTTCACACTCAGTTTTCATCCAATGATACTTGATTATTACATATTCAGTATTATTTAGTTGAATTTACAAAGAACAATCACATATTTATTTTCCCACCAACATTTCTTTTTTTGATTGGCGGGGGAGAAAATAAAAAAAATCTATTTTTTTCTTCTTCGCTGCAGAGGCTCGCTCACATAGCTAAAATAAATCTATCGACGTAAAGAGGTAGGTATTGAAAGCAGAACCCGCATACTTTTTCCGTCTGCAATCTCTCGGTCATATTCTAGGTTTATTTTACTCATTTCTCCAACTTGCTTGCCCGGCGAATAGCCATCTTATCTACTAATTTTTATACCGTAGATTCAAGTGCCAAAACCTGTATATAATTAGTTTCTTGTATCAGCTATGTTAAGAGGGAAACTTACTATTGCTGTACGGGTTGGAATGTAGACTTGAATAAAGTTCTTTCTATCGTTCCATGCAAAAGGTGTTGTGAAGAAGCGTGTTGAAGAATCAATTCTTTCGAATCCTCCAACATCCTTGGTATCAGTGTTGAGAACAGCTTTGTAAGTACCCTCTTGTTCGACACCAACTCTGTAATCTACGAAACTTTGGGTTGGGTTGAAATTGAAGATCCATAACAAGCCAGCTCGCTCAAAAACAATGACCTTATCAGACTCATTCTTCAAACTGATATAAGCTTGATCGCTGTGTAACCATCCATACTTTGCTTCAAGATGTTGCATGTGGGAATCAAATTCGTTCAATGCTTTGTAACGAAGAAGATCATCATCTGGAAGGTTAAATTGACGACGAGCATACCAAAAGCTGTTGTTGTTACCTTCACGAGGGAAGTCGAGCCACTCTGGATGACCGAATTCGTTACCCTCGAAATTGAGATAACCTTCGCCTCCAAGACCGGATGTCAGGAGGCGAATCATCTTGTGTAATGCCATTCCACGCTCGATAATTGGCGTGAACTCTGTAAGTCTTGACATATTTGTGTACATCTCTGCGTCACACAAATGCATCATGATGGACTTATCTCCGACCAATGCTTGATCGTGACTCTCACAGTATGCGATAGTCTTCTCACCATGACGTCTGTTCGTCAAAGTAAAGCAGATGTTTCCGAGATCCCATTCGTCGTCCTTCTTTTCCTTGAGGATCTTAATCCACATATCAGGAATGGCCATAGCAAGTCTGTAATCAAACCCTACGCCACCTAGTGCTAATGGTAAGCACAGAGCGGGCATTCCCGAAACATCTTCTGCAATAGAGATCGATTCTGGATAAAGTTGGTGCAGCATCTCATTGGCAATCATAAGGTAGACAACACCGTCCTCATCAACAGATGGACCAAAGTACTCATGGTAACCACCAGAGAACCCCGTTCCAATTCCATGATGGGTATAAAGCATGCTCGTAACACCGTCGAATCGGAATCCGTCAAAGTTGTATTCGTCCATCCAGAATCGTAAATTGCTGAGCAAGAATCTCAAGACTTCATGAGATCCATAGTTGAAAAGTCTACTATCCCACAACTCATGCTTTCCTTTAGGACCCTCGTGGAAATAGCAGCTGTCACTCCCATCGAACTCATTGAGCCCATCCAATACATTTTTGGAAGCATGACTGTGAACCACGTCAAGCAGCACAGTGATACCAAGTCCATGTGCGGTATCTATAAGCTCTCTCAGCTCATCAGGTGTACCATATCGACTGCTTGCAGCAAAGAAACTGTTGATTTGATAACCGAAACTTGCATAATATGCATGCTCCATAATAGCCATAAGCTGAATAACATTATAACCCAAATGGTGTATTCTTGGTATCATGTTCTTTGTGAACTCCTTGTATGTGGAAACCCGTAGTTCTGGGGAAGAAATACCAACGTGTGCCTCATATACCCTAACACTTTCTGGCTTCTTTGGTCTGGGATGCTTGAAGACATATCGTTCGGACTCAGGTGGGTTCCAAAATCGAGCGTCGTAAACTGGGGAGACGGAGAGATCTTGCGTGACATATTTGATCCATGCAGGAATTCGTTCAATTCGTTCGCCGGAAGGTGTAATCATAGAGATCTGGTGGGGTTAGCGGGGGGAAATAAAGCAGTTGGCTAGAGCCGTTTACCTTGATCTTAGAATTATGTGCGATAGCTGGTTTGCCATCCTTTGCGGGTAGAACAATTTCGAAAACCCCATAAGGATCCTTCTTCATAGGGTGAGACTCGCGGTTCCAGTCGTCTACACGATGTTAATGTTCGACGTCCTGAGAGTTGTGAACGAGGGAGAGAAATACTAAAATCACCAATCAAGAATGCTTGTGTTGCATTCGGAGCCCATTCCCTGTATGTAATGTTGTTCTTCTTATCGACATTGAATCCAAACTTCTCGGTACCCTGATATGGTTAGTTGTGACCAAAGAATCTATAGGAGCTTCACAAACTCTGCTAAATTTCTCAATACCACCTTCAGTATCGTCGATGGTTTTAATCCATTGCTGTGCTTTTGAAAATCTGTGCTTTAAAGAATCTCTGAATGGTTCAAGCCATGGATCAAGTTGGATAACGCCTGAATTGGTCAATATTGAGCATCGTCTGGGGACCGTTGAGCTTACCAGTTCCATCATTTGGGATTCCCCTTGGTGCTTCACTCTTCATGATTGAAGCAGTTGCCAGTTCATTTACATTAGCCATTCTTGCAGATAATGTTTTTGACAGATTGTATGAGGCTGGGGAATTTAATGGATTAGTATTTTATTGGAGAAAGTCGAGCTAGTAAGTACCTACCTAGTTCCTAGTACTCTCCGGATTTGAGGAGCTATGATGATGGGGGTATGATATGACGGTATGTATGGATGGGTTTAGCTCTCTTCTAACCGCGCAAACAAGATAAGGGAGGGGCGCTTAACACGCGATTCAACTTGAGATAAGTGCGTAGGAAGAGATGAATAGAAAAGTTGACAGTGAAGATGGAAAAGAAAAGAAAAGAAAAGGAAGCATTCAGTCAACTTATGATGTTTTTTCTTTTTGCAGAGAAGAGAAATCCTGTGCATATTGCGGGGTCTTATTCCTCTTTTTCTCTCCCTCGCCATTGCGCGAGTAACAAGTGGCTAGGTATTGATAATGCAGGACATGATTTGTTTGGTGTATTTGATTTGTTTGAATTGATCCCCTATCCTCCCTCCCTACCTAAGGATCTGCCAATTCTTCTACTTCTGGTAGAACTTGTTGAGAGAATTTAACCATTTCACGCCTTTTCCAGCCTGAACCCAAGCCCAACTAAAGAACCTGGACGTACTTATTACGAGCTTAGGAGCTTATTAGGTACCTACCGAGCCTCCCTACCCAGCAATCCATATTAATGATAAAGCAGCTGGAGAGTGAAGCGAATTTCGAGTGAAGGGACTGACCTGACTGGACCTTGTTGTAAACGCCTGCAAGCCATCCTGCTCGTGCGTGTGTGGCATTAGTGACGTCGATCCCTGTCGTATGAGAAAATCAACGAACCATTCTTTGAACCATTCAATTCCTCCATCCATCCATGAATTGGTGTGAAGATTCTCGAAGAAAACGGCGGAATATGAAGTTATTTTACTTATTATTTATACACATCTAATTATTAGGTACTTATTACCTAGGTGTTAAGTAGCTTTTATACTAGAGACGAATAGGTATGAAATCAAAATGCAAATGTCAAAAAAAGTTCAAACTTTATAAATAACCGATATCCCTGCTACGTGCACGACCCTACTATGTGCACACTTTTATTATTTATATAGAAAATTGAATTAAAAATTGAAAAAGCGATATTATAATTTGAAATTCAAAATTGAGATAATTGAAATAAACTTATATAATATTTTGAAATAAAAAAATTAAAAATCTCAAAAATTATAATAATAATAATGATAAATAAGATATTAATTTTTATAAAAAAAATTATTTATTTATTAATATATTTTATAATATAATTAAAAATATAAGTTTTTTTTAATGAAATTATGAAGTTCTATATATTATAATATAAGATATTTGAAAAAAACTAAAGTTTTTTATCGAAAATTTGAAATTATATTAATATTAAATTCTAATATATTTTATAAAAAATATTTTAATAATTAATTATTAATAGAATAATGAATTTATAATATTTTATTCTATTTTTAAGTTATATAATAATAATAATCTTTAAAAAAAATATAAATATATTAAAATCTATAATTTATTAATATTAAATTTAAATAAAGATTTATAAAAACTTATTAGGAATTTGATTTAATCTAATAATAAATATAATATAAGTATTTATTAATTTTTTTAAGAAATTTCAATCTTAAACTTTTTTGTTATATAGTTTTTAATCAATTATTAAAGAATGAAACTATATTGATCAGATTTTGATTTAATAAAAAAATTTAAATTTCGAAAATTAAATTATTAATTAATATTAAATCAATTTTTATTTAAAAAAAAAATTTTAAAAATGAATTAATAATATTTTGAATTGAAAAAAAAATTCTTTTTAAAGAATTTTATTTTAAAAGAATTTTTATATAATTAGAATCTTATTATATATAATAGAATTAAGATTTAGATAATTTTAAAAATAAAATTTCAAAAATAAAAGATATTTTTAAATAATTTTCTTTTATTAATCAAAACTCTATATATTTTAATATTTAATATAATCCTTTTTTTAAAAACTTACTTTTTAAATCTTTAATATTAAATATAAAATTTAAATTCATTTTAAAAAATATTTTTAACTTTTCTAAAAATATTATAAATCATTAGAAAAATCTAAGAATCTATATTAAATTTAATTCTTTTTACTTTTTTGATTTTTTTGATTTTTTTATAATATTATTAATATCAAAAAATCTATAAAAATTTATTATAATTCTATAAATAGATTCTAATATATTATTTATTAAGAAATTATATATCAAGATTCTATATTCTCTTTATTTAATTATTCAATCAATTCTTAATTTAATAATTCGAAATCCTTATAAATTGAAATTGATAATATTAATTAATTATTGAATTAAATTTTATATTATTATAATTATTTTTAAATTTTAAATTGATTTTTGTTTTGATATAAAAAAAGTGTGCATATAGTAGGGTCGTGCACGTAGTAGGGATATCGGTTAACCCTTTTTCTTCTCTCTTCACTCATCCCTCACTCAAATCAGCATTCGTTGTTTTCATCCCACTTCCCGTTTTAGTCCGCACACTCCAGATTTTTTAACACTAGCTTGGACCAATTAGAAAACTCTCACCCCGCAACAAGATGCTCATAGCGTCGATTACCGTAGTGCCGCCGATATCGACATATCATTGTCTCACGCAATCTGAGGTCAATCATTCACGTGCATTATTGCTATTGCTGTACAGCCTCAAAACGTTCAAATGATTTCTAGCATGTTATGATCAGATTTGATACATAATCTTGCTCTTTGATACCCAAGCCCTTTACGGCCATTTGTTGCTCAGATGAGAAACTACAATTCATCAATATGTCCCCGATATCGGGACTCAGCCGGATCTCCCATTCCAATCCTCGACTTCTAAGAACTTGCCCCCGGTCTCTTCATTTCTCATCCGTTAGGTATTATCGAGATGCACAATTCAGACGCTCTGATTATGATGGGCAAGGTTGGACTTCATCATATGAGCCAGGTGCTCCAACAAAAGGTCCTCTATCTCAAGCTTCTAAACATGGGGTTCCAAGCCTTACCCCTTTGTCATTGAAAAATCACCTGGATAAATTCGTTGTTGGACAAGATAGGGCAAAAAAAGTCACATGTGTGGCTATTTATAACCATTATCAACGGGTTCGAGAGTTGAGAAGACAGGAAGCAGAGGAGCAGGAAAGGAGGGATCAGTACAGTAGGAGGCATTTATATGAACGAGAGCGTAATAGTCATCCCGTTGACAGTAAAGATACTCCTTCACTTCACATGAACTGTCCAAATTCTAACATAATACCAGATGAATACGTTGGTCATGCCATTCAAACCGCAGACCTGAATGCTTCGTACCGTGAACGCGAGTATGAAGAAGAACCCGAGCTAGGCTCCAGACCACTAGAAGACCCTTCCCAAAACCGCACTATCATTGAGAAATCAAATCTCATGTTATTAGGACCGTCCGGTGTCGGAAAAACCTACATACTCCAGACTCTAGCCCGTGTTCTCGAAGTTCCCTTTGCAACAGTCGATTGTTCTTCCCTGACCCAGGCTGGCTACATTGGAACTGATATTGAATCATCAATTGAGCGTTTACTATTAGCGTCATCCAATTCCATTCAAAAATGTGAAACGGGAATAATATTCTTCGATGAAATCGACAAATTAGCCAAACCGGCTGTTATGACCCATGGTCGTGACGTGTCAGGCGAAGGTGTCCAACAGGGTCTTCTCAAAATGATTGAAGGAACCACTGTCACCGTAAACGCCAAATCTGATAAAAACGCTTCTAACTCAAACCGAAGCATGGACCGTGGAGGCCGAGAATCAAGTTCCCCTGCTAGAAGCGAACAATATACGATTGACACCTCAAACATCCTCTTCGTATTCGCCGGCGCCTTTATCGGGCTCGAGAAAATAATTTCCCAAAGACTTTCAACCGGTTCATCCATCGGGTTTAATTCCTCCCTCTCCTCCTCATCTTCGTCCTTCTTTTCCTCCAACCCATCAAAAGAAAACCAAAAGGATGTCCTTGCCCATGCCACCCCCACCGACCTCCAAGCTTATGGTCTCATACCCGAACTTCTTGGCCGGATTCCAATAACCACGGCCCTCTCTCCCCTTTCCCTTCCTCAATTAGTATCTATTCTCACCGAGCCTCGCAATTCTTTGGTCAAGCAGTACACAGCACTTTTTGAAACCTACGGTTCTCATGGTATCATCCTCCAATTTACCAAATTAGCACTAGAAGCCATTGCTTCTCGAGCTCTCTACGGTTCCTCTTCTCCTTCCTCTAAAGAAAACAAAGGAAAAGGAGAGAAAGGAACAGGCATCGGAGCAAGAGGTCTTCGTTCCATTATGGAAAATGTTTTGCAGGAAATCATGTTTATAGGACCCTCTTCACCTAATATTCGATATGTTCTCGTGGACGAAGCTTTTGTCAAGGGACTTGAATCTACATCTACACCCTCCTTAAGTACAGACAATGAAGGAATAGACGGAACGGGTGAAACACGTCTCCCCCGCTGTTTTCCACGCAATCAGAGAAATATCTTCGAAGAGGCGATCGAGCTCGAAGAAGAGCAATGGAAACAGCGGAGTGGAATTTCAGAGAAGCGAAAGGATGGGGAAGGAGAGAATGGCGATGGTGGCAAATCCATGTACAGTTTCCAGGAATATAGGGTTGTAGTTGAGAGCGGAATGTGAGGTCTGAGATATAAAATGCAAAATGGAAGATGGGAAGCTCACCGTCGAGTCTCCATCATACACCACAGAAAACATGGTCGTCCAGCACCCAAACGACTAAATCCGCAGCCCAACACATCAAGAAAAAGAACGCAAAGCAAAGAAGAGGAACCCGAACTTCAAATCAGAGCTGATTCATCGATTAGTTCGAAAAAAAAATAAGTCTTCGAATAATCTCGTGTCTCAACCAGAGAGAGAAGAGGACCGGTCGCCACAATCTGATCCCGGTTCTGATTTTTGGTGTTTCTATTGTCAATTTTGATTTTGATATTGATTTTAACTTCACTTTCGTGATCAATCCACCTGCACCATTTGCACACATGGATAAAGGATTTCACTGTATAGGTACGTACGGAGAGAGGGAGTTCGGCGCATATGTTTGCGGGTTTTTGATGTAAGCAAGGATGAAAGGAAATAGGCAAGCAGGAAGCAGGTGATCGTGATAGTGAATGATGAACGAATAATCGTGTATTTGGAAGCCTCGTATCTGGATGTGGAAATGAGGAAATGGTATTTGTCTCTTACGAATGTCTACGTGTGCTATTCATGAGTGTGTACGATACTGTGATGTAACATTACAGATTGAGGATATGATATGCAAAAATCAGTCCCGTTTTGAAATCAGTCAACTTTTCAAACTACCTAATCCAAGCATTCACAAAAGCCAGTTCTTTTAAGCATTCGCACGCGAAAAAACAGGGAATCATTCACGAACTGTTGTACAAAAAGGTTCATTGTAAAATTCGATCTTTCATCTCCCTCGCTCACTTCTCTCCCACACCATCCCGATTTATTTTTCCACCCTCCAATTCTATGCACAAAACAATGCTGTCCATCCGCCAAGATCTCCTTTACAAGAAATCTCCTTTCATCATCTCATGCAGATCTCATTCATTTTCTGTCCCATCAATCTCCAGGCTCACATCCATCCAACAAAAGAAATAAGAGTTTGTATGCAGGTAGTTTTTCGAATAGCACCGTTCCGAGTAGGGTATGTATTCTTTTCTTTTCTGGCATTATGTATAGTTGGTATGAGGGAGAATTTAGTTCTTCTTGGGTGCAGATTGGACTTGACCGGGGCCGGAGTATCCTTCGGAGGAAAGACCGCTGATGGGCTCGGAGTTTTGAGACTGTGGTGGAGAGTTGTTAGTTTTATATTCTTGAATATTTTGGATAGATCCCAAGCTCCAGGACGGAAAGCCCGGTTGAGAATGAGATTTCTGATGATCTCGAAAAGATTATACATACTCTCAAGTATTCGTTTGTAGCCTCTTCCCACTCCTTGTTCATGGTAGATGGAGATCCCTTTGCGAATGATCTAATTGCCAGGAAAAGGGCGAGAGAAACACCAACTCCACCCATTGTGTATCCAAAGACCTTCCATCCTTCTCCTGGGGGAGTTTGAGCTCTTGGTCCGTGGGCGCCAAAGGCAATGTAGTAAGCTGTTCACAATATCTGTTAGCTTTGTCATTTTCCTCAATCTCAATCTCAATCCCAGTTTTAATCTCCATGTCCATCCCAGTATGCTATAACTCCGCAACCTCCCGCCCAACAGCTCACAAGGTAAGCTGGCTTCAATCTGTAGCCCTCTGCCATTTATCGAAGCATATACCCCCCTCCAAAAGCTCTGTATATGAACCCCATGTCCCACCAAAAAAGAATCTCACGTACCAGCCTTCTTCTCTTGTAAAGTCAACTCGGCCCAATTAACCTTCATGCGATCCCTCAAGTTCATCCAAAGCTCGGCTTGTTCCTGCGGCGGCATAGCCTCCCACCTCTTCTCGATATCGGCCAAAGTAGGATTACTGATCGCATGAGTGGAAGCACATCGAACCTGGTTTCGAACCACAGAGCCCGTGGCGGCGCGGACAATTGATGTGCGGAGCATGTTTGCGACGGGGGAGAATATGGGTTGGAGATTTCGAGAGGTGTTATGCGTGCGGACGAGTGTTAATACAAATTGTAGAGGATAGAACTACGTACGAGTTGGAATGGGTGGTGGAGGATGGGGCATCGGATGACTTTGGAGACGCTTTTCGTTAAGCGAACTAGAGATCCACTTTGTAGAGTCACGTGGTAAGTTTATATCTTCAACTTTGGGGCATTTGAAGTTCTCGGGATATGAAGTATTTTATTTTTCTGGTCTAGAATAGATGATGAGTTATCAAAGCCATGATTGAAGCTCTTTTGATCTCGTTGCAACTTCATTTGGTTGAAATTCAAGACTCTTAGGTTCGACGAATCAACGTCATCCGGTTGGCCATGATTAAATTTCTTGCACGTTTATAAATTATCAAATGTCGATTGGATAGTGAGGTTGCTATGAAACAATATCGGATATTGATGAGAGACTGATGTAAAAATTCTGCTCTCCAAGGAATGGACTTTGGAAGAATTGGACCTCTATTTGTATGTATACACCGTGAGGTACCCAGCCATGGTAGTAACGTTCGTTCGTTATGATCTGATTAGATATTCCGATATCGATATTGAAAAAGAGGAAAAAACTAGATCCCGCGGTTGGCGATTGCATCATTTGTCAGCGGGTGCATAGACACAGTAAGATTTTGGATAATCCGGCGCCGTCTTCAAGCTCTATACCCATACATCATTTTTGATATATCTTCATCAAATACTCTAGATTGTTTATAGATAGATTCGTATCAATTCCGCACCTTGAAATGGGGGACGAGTTCTTCAATTGTGGGGTACATGGTTGCTAGCCCGAGATATATCCTTCGACAGCTGTTGACCTGGGGTGTAAAGGTCTAGTGGCTATAGATCTTGTCTCTGATCGAATGAAATAGATTATTTGAGACCCGAGTTTTGCCTTGAATATAATAGAGGGGAGTGAGATGTGAGTTTAGATACTACCTTATGCGTAGATATGTACAGCTTCCTCGCAAGGGAGAGTATCATGAGCATTGGTGATAGTCATGTGAACATAAGAAACGTGACTTTAAATCACTGTTTGCTCCTGATACCTTTCGCAAAAGTGATCCGATATGAAGTTACAGTTTTGATTTATAATGATTGAGTTGCGGGCATCTGCTTATCTTCTCTATCTGGGCACTGGAAGCTGGAATCATCATATATTGTGTGAGAAGCGCCTCTTCCTCTTCACGCGTGGTAGAGGTACATTTGCAAGCAGCGGAGTGTGTAGGTTACATAGCTACTACCATCTGGGTAATTTGTAATCATACCTAGTAGGTACATGCAATTCGATCATCTCCAGACTCCAGGGCTACCATTTATTATACTTTGTATACTAGGTATGCAAACAAATCTTCTCTCCTTCACGGTCCCAAAAGCCTTCTCTGCAGCTACTTTCTCAACCCTTAAATATAAGCTTTTCAAAGTTGGCCACCGTACGTGGGGCGTTATCAGAGAAAAATAGAAAGTCCGAAAATGAGGCCGTAGGAGAACGGAGTCCAGAGATTTAATCCCTTATTCAGCAAAGCTCAGTATCCCATCCTCATCAATTTACGAGATGAGATGATAGGAAATTGATTGTGATTAGAACTATTATTATAAAGCCATTTGACTCACTCAACAGTTATCATGTAAGAAGAAAATCTCGAAGCAGCACGTGTATGAAGTGAGTGGAGTGATTGATTCATTGTGCTCAGTATTGGCTGACACAATACGGTACGAGAGCATTGCTTTGGACTCAAAGACCAAGAAATCTGAGAGGCGAAAGTTTGAACGATGGGAAGATGGGAAGATGGGGTGAGGTTTCGCAATGTCTGGATGTCCGGATGTATGGACTTTATGTATCTTCTCTGTAAATACCATGAGAATTCGATATCCCATGGAAGATAGATTCTTTCGCCTCGGATCGCGATAATACGGATAGACGTTAATCGATTGTCTCGCTCTACATACCCGAGTTACCGTGGTCTAAAGCAATCCAGCGACTGATTCCGATATATCAAGATATTAACCTATAGTAGTTGAAAGGTTTGAGGGGTTCGAGGAGTCGAGCGATAACTTGTAGGAGTGGTAACGGTATTGCAAACGGCTGATGTGGGAGTGGCCGTCAAGTACCTGTCTGGACACCCGTTTGGATACTACCTACCTAGTACTACTGTATGTACTTCAGAGCTCAACACCCAACAAGCTTGCTTACCTAGTACGTACAAATGGAAGCTTACAGTCTCAAAGCTTGTTAGTAGTAAGTACCTATGTAGACATTTGGGTAGGATGTCCCGTATATCCCGTATGTTCCATATTCCACATGTCCCATCACCTTATGAGCTTACGTCCCATATGTCACTTCTTGTTGGACGTGAACTAGACGTAAGCTCAAGTAACAGATGCCATGAAAGTTTATCATCCATCATACGAGTAACGATACCTTGTAATGACTAGGTATATAAAAAGTAATCTTCATACTAGATGCCTAGCTGGGTATTAACTTCAACCTCTCAAACAAAACCAAGAAGATCAAGAGTAACACGTAGGTACTTCATACTTCAATAAGTGAACACTGACTTTGATCATAAAACTTGGCGTTGCAGAGTACACACCTAGTACATACCCAGCGAGCCCAGCATTTGAATCATTATTTGAGGGACGAGGGGCGAGTGAGGGATGGGATCCAGAAATCCAGAAATCCAGATCATCCAATACACGGCACGGTCCACATCCATTCATTCCACGCTAAAGGAGGGGCGCTACCGTAAAATTGATTCAACAATGACCCCACCAACATTATGTCCCCCTCCCCTCCGTTTCTTCCTTTTCCTACATAAACAATCAAGTCTCCCTCTCCAAAATCATCTCAAGAATCATCAAAAAAATCATACAAGTAAGTATTCTTACATCTCTCTCATCATCAACTCCACACCGCCGTCAGTTCTTTATCATCTATAGCTTCAAGGGCTACATCCGAAGCTCCATTTTTAACCTTTCCAAGCTATCTTGGTCAACGAACAAGCTGAAAGACCTTTCTTCAAAACATCTTCTAACATTATTTTTAGAATGGCTCCTACTAAAGTTGGTATCAACGGTTTCGGACGTATCGGACGTATCGTCTTCAGAAATGCTATTGAGCATGATGACATTGACATCGTCGCTGTCAACGATCCTTTTATCGAGACTGAATATGCTGTAAGTTTCCGCTATCGGACCTCCCGCAGAGTTCAAGGACTCGAGCTAATTTGTATGATGTACAGGCATACATGTTGAAGTATGATTCCACCCACGGTCAATTCAAGGGTGATATCAAGGTTCTTTCCGATGGATTGGAGGTCAATGGCAAGAAGGTCAAGTTCTACACCGAGAGAGACCCAGCCAACATCCCATGGGCTGAGTCCGAGGCATACTACGTTGTCGAGTCCACCGGTGTTTTCACCACCACCGAGAAGGCTAAGGCACATTTGAAGGGTGGTGCCAAGAAGGTTGTCATCTCTGCTCCTTCCGCCGATGCCCCAATGTACGTTATGGGTGTCAACAACGAGACCTACAAGGGTGATGTTGATGTTATCTCCAACGCCTCTTGCACAACCAACTGCTTGGCTCCTCTCGCCAAGGTCATCAACGATGAATTCACCATCATTGAAGGTTTGATGACCACCATCCACTCCTACACCGCCACCCAAAAGACCGTCGATGGTCCATCCGCTAAGGATTGGCGTGGAGGACGTACCGCTGCTCAAAACATCATCCCATCGAGCACCGGTGCTGCCAAGGCCGTCGGAAAGGTCATCCCAGAGCTTAACGGCAAACTCACCGGAATGTCCATGCGTGTTCCAACTGCCAACGTCTCAGTTGTTGACTTGACTGTCCGCATTGAGAAGGGTGCTTCTTATGATGAGATCAAGGCCGTCATCAAGAAGGCTGCTGATGGTCCTCTTAAGGGTTAGTTACTCTCTCAATCCTTCTTCCGTTCTAATTTATTAATCGCAATACAGGCATATTGGCTTACACTGAGGACGATGTTGTCTCCACTGACATGAACGGTGACAACCACTCCTCCATTTTCGATGCCAAGGCCGGTATCTCCCTCAACGCAAACTTCGTCAAGTTGGTTTCCTGGTACGATAACGAGTGGGGTTACTCTCGTCGTGTCCTTGATCTCCTCCACTACATCTCCAAGGTTGATAACAAGCAGTAGGAGATTTTTGCTCAGTCTTTAGGAAGTAGTGAAGACTCTGACCACTATTTGGCAGAGAATTCTTGAAAGGCAAGCTCTGATACCATGTCAGATGCCAGATTTCATTAAAATGAATAGTTATTACCGAGTAACGATGAATGCCTTATGATAGCGTTAAGAATGAAAACAAGCTCAAGAACAAAATACCGTCTTCACCATGCGAATTTCTCACATTTCATACGTGATGGCATTGATGTGATGTATGAGATCATGATTTCTGCCCACACGATTGTCTACCAACTCTTCCTACCTTGACCTGACGCCATATCAGAAGGTATGTCGGGGTAGAAGCCTATGAACATGAGTGCCGCCGCGTCCCTTGTCCTTTCCTTCAACTGGGTAAGGACTTCAAATATGATAAACCTCTTTATTTCTGGATACAGAAAGTAATATTTGTCGTCATATGTACTTCGAATCGAGTCATGCCATTGGATTGAAGACCCAGGACCTTTGCTTTCTTGCAATCATTTTCGGCAGGATAGCCAAGCTTGATCGCTGATACAAGTAAGTGCCGAATGAATACTGTATGAGAATCTTTAAAGGGGCTCAAAATATGGAGAAGTAAGAAATCTTTGGTCGGATTTACATTGGGCCAGAACCTCCCTTAAAGGCAAGACTCACATCCCCTCTCCACATGGACGAAAAAAAGCGGTACACTACGAGTGCATCAATCAAGTAAAATCAGATATTTATATAATACTAACATTTTGATCTTGAATTATAATATCAGT